GAACACGCTCTCTTCCCCTGTTAAAACTGTCTCACTCTCTGTTTCTATGGTGCAGTGTTCATTTTCTGTCACTCAGAGCCACACATATTCCGGGTCACTTAAACCTTGGGCCGGACCTTCTCTCCAGGGGGGGTCCTCTTGTGAGAGAGTGGAGACTGCACCCACTAGTGGTGGCTCAAACATGGGACCTCCTCTCCCAGGCAGGAGGAGAGGTGATTCACCAGTTCAGGCCCAGAACTGTGGTAACTACATGCCTACCTGTTGAAAGGTCCAACTTAATAGTTAAGGGTCTGCCCCAAATGTGGTTGCAACAATCCAGAGTGCAAGGGCATCATCTACTAGGGGCCTATATGCCTATAAATGGCGGGCGTTTGAGCAGTGGTGTCAGGACCGAAATGTATTCCTATTTCAGAGTTCTATTGTGGATGTTTGAACATTCCTTCAGGAGCTGCTGGATAGGGATCTCTTTCTCAACAATTAAGGTCTATTTGGCAGCTATATCTGCATGCCATGTTGGCTTTGATGGTGTGACGCCAGGCGCTCACCCTCTTGCGATGCGTTTCCTAAAAGGAGTCTGCAGGCTTAGATCAGTGCTTAAACTCCGTGTTCCCTCATGGGATTTAGCGCTGGTGCTTGAGGCTCTTGGACGACCCCCATTTGAGCCCATTGAGTCAGCAGACATGAAATTTCTTTAGTACAAAACTGCACAGCTACTTGTTATTAGCGTCTGCAAACAAGTGGGTGACCTTCATGCTTTGTCTGTGCATCCCCCTTGTACCCAGTTCACTCTGGATAGATCTAAGATTACATTGCACCCAAACGTGGCGTATTTGCCTAAGATTATCCCCATAGCCTATAGCTCTATGAGTTTTGAACTACTGAGCTTCTACCCTCCTCCATTTGCATCTGAGGAGCAGAGGAGGTTGCACTCCTTGTGTCCTGTGTGTGCACTATGCACTTACATAGACCGCAGTTGTTTGTCTGTTTTGCTAATCCAGCCAAAGGCAAGGCACTGTCTAAACAGTGGCTTTCCCACTGGATTGTGAAGGCTATCTCATTAGCATATGGCAGTAGGGGTCTTCCATTGCCCCAAGGTGTGAGGGCACATTCAACCAGGGGAATGGCAGCCTCATGGGCCTTGTCCTCACATACTGTTCAGGTCAAATTTGACCCGTTTTGACTTTTAACAGCAGTAAAAATACCCTAAACATCATTTTTTAAGCCTAAAACTTGATGACTTTTCCTGAAGTTGCCCAAAATACATGAAATTGATTTAAAAATATTCATGTGTATTTTTGTTTATGTGCTACAAATTTTTCCCCTCTAAGGCTGTTACAGGTCAAATTTGACCCGTATCTATATTTAGATGGATTTTAGATCTAGCAGTGTGGGACAAGTGACAAACAGTAACAACAGTGTTCAATATAAGGTTTGTTGTTCAAAAAGATATATTCAAATCATTATGAAACTATCATTACCTTGACAGAAACACACACACACACGCACGCACACAGACATACAGTCACACAGACACACCTAGACAGAGGTCAAAATGACCTAACTAGTCAAGAGAACTTTCTGTGACAGAAAGCTGCTCTTTGAACTCTTTGAAGGAGCAATTTTGACCTGGAACATACTGTGAGGGTACAGGATTTGAACAGTATGTGAGGGTTAAAGGGGTTCTTGTGAGTGATATCTGCACTGCAGCCAGTTAATCATCACCATATTGTTCGGTTTTATCGTCTGGATGTGACAGCCCCTTCAGTTGGTCACTCTGTCCTTTCTGCTGGGTCTACAACGCACTAATGTTTTGGAGGTTTGACTCCGGTTCGGTGGCTGCTCTGCGGGGCGTGTATATATGTCCCATACTATATGTGTTGTACCGAGTGAATCAATCAATCAATCAATCAAATTTTATTTATATAGCACCAATTCACAACAGTCGTCATCTCAAGACGCTTTTCAAGGAACAAGAGCAGGTCTGGACCACGCTCATTGTTTGATGATCAAGAACCAACCTAAGAATCGACTGAAAGGGAATGAAATGTTATGAATATAACTTCAGTTCCCTGAATGAGAGGAAAGAGGTACAACACTGGGTTGCCCCACTGCGCAGCTAGGCTCAGTGAAGAGCGGCTATCGAACTGAGGAATGACTTTGGTGTTACAGGTATGTGCAGGCGGAGCCTCCCAGACGTCACCACAGATCATCTGCCATGAAGGTGTGAATAAAGGTGTCTTCAGTCAGGCCGTGCGAGGGCGTGATATTCCATACTATATGTGTTGTACCTCGTTCCTCTCCTTCAGGGAACAGAAGTTATATTCATAACATTTCGTTCTCTAACTTGACAGTTTACTGTACAGTTTATACACCCAAGTACACCTCTATATGTGCATTTTTGAGCCACATAAAAACAGAACGAAAGTTTGCTGCTCCATTTGACATGCTGTCATGATCCAAAATTCTTGTTTTTATTTTTTAAATATGAGATAATTTTTCTCCACTTACTTTTCTTTCCCTTCGATGTGGAGGGTAACAGAAGCAGCCTCCTGGTTTCGGTGTTTGTCTTCTCCTGCCCAATTACACTTCAGCAGCTGTGCAGCTCGCTAATCACATGTACGTAGGGGAGGAGGCGGGACCATGGGCGGGATGGTGCAGAGCAGGGGAGACAGGGGATTGGATGGACTCACGGACCACTCCGGTTCGGATTGGTCGATTATTATGCCTTTTTGCAGCGGATATACTGAATTGATTTTTTTCGTCCTTTTTGATCTTCATATTGCGTAGATCTGACCATAGGACCATAATGGCCAGTTGTGGTCCTAGGCACTGGCAAACCGGGCAGCTGCCCGTGGCGGCATTTGTGTCATGACTCATGGAGGGCGGCACGAGCACTTCCAGAGAAAAAAAAAAGATAATAATAATAATAATAATTCTGCGCCGCAAATCGGTTTTGTATTAACTCTTGTAAAATTGGCGCCCCCTGATGCTGTAGGCACTCTGCTTGCTGCGAAGGTGAGGCACAGAGGCTGACTGACTGTATGAGACGAGGCAAGGAGAGGGTCGCAGGGGACAGTTCTGCTCTCAGGATTGCTCTCACTCTGCCTGTCCCAGTGGCTCAAGCAGAGAGGAGCTTCTCAAAGCTGAAGTTGATAAAGTCGTACCTAAGGTCAACCATGTCTCAGGAATGGCTCACTGGCCTTGCCGTCATCAGCATCAATCACATAACCCATTTGAACCATGACAGCATGTCCACATTTCATCCTTCCAAGCCGGGTGCGCGGCTGCACATTTCTACCCGTTAAGCCGGGAGTGCGGATCCGTCATTTTGTAACCTTCTGTAGTTTTTCAATCATTCGTGGCGAATCAAATCATCATTCCCGTCTGCCTCTGATAGGCTAATAAAGCGCTCGGATTCATGCTGGGATCTTGCTACGTGCTTCAAGAGTAAAGTAAACAATGACGGAGGCAGAGAGCAGCTTTGGAGGAGAAACATCCAGCAGTGTGAACAACCTCTTCATGTTGAGGTGTTTGGCTCACACTATCTCGTTTTCTGTGAGTTTTGCATGACTTTGGTTGAGCACAGACATGAACACACTGTCAGCCATTTCTTTCTTCATTTTTTAGTTTTTAGTGCTGCTTTTGTACTGGCACTATCTAGGGCAGCTGTATACCCTTTCAACACTTTATTTGTTATATTTACGTTTGTGTTGAATGGACACTTTATCATGACTGCCACTTGTTTTACAGAAAGCAAATTGTTATTCTCCAGTGCATAATCTTTACTTTTATTTATACAACCGCTTTATTTCATTTAAGTTTGTTTGTTCAAAGTTTGCAAAAATGTGATGAAGGTTCAGAAAAATAATAGATATATATATATCTTGAAAGCCACATGTGTAAGTTCTCAAATACTTTTTGAATTTTGTTTCTATCTGCGACAGAGGCTGAGATATCAGCTTTTTTGTAAACCTCAACAGTTAAGAAAACCTCAGGATCTGGGGGCCCTTCTCAAAATTGCCCTCAAGATTTCAGAGGCGTGGCTCAGACAGGGTTCAGGTCTTAATGGCTTAATAGGGGAGCAGATATCTTATGACGAGATTATTGATGATTTTGCATCAAGGAAGGCAAGAAAGGTCCGGTTTGGTTTAAATTTGTGTTTTCTGTTCATAGAGCAATCATATTTTCTGTAGTGTGTTTTCAAATTTGTGTGATTTGCTATGTAAGATTATTAGTCTATATTTTAATATTTTATATCATTCTTCTCTTCTTGAGCTGTCTTGTTACATTTTTTGTTAAAGATTTGCCACTTTTTTGTATATCGTGTATATTTATTATTTAAGCTCTGATAACCTGTTTTGTGCAGAATTGCACAAAACAGGTTATCTAGCCGGTCTAGCCCGGGGAGTAATTTAGTCTAGAACTGCCACTGATAACGGCCTTATAAACGGTGTTATTGATAAGTACCAAGCTTCCAAATGGTAGACCATAGCTTTATGGTGGACTGAGGAGAAGAGCAGAACTGTCCTGAGTCCTGAATTAAATCCGACTCTCTTTTAGGAATTCTTGAACACTGCATATTTTCCTTTTTTAAATGATGGACACTACATATACATTCTTTTAAAAATAATTTCTTGTCAAACATGGTTTCATCTTCTATATTTACAAAGTGTGTGTTTTTTCATCTTTCCCAGCTCTCATTATGTTGGATTTAGATTTGTTTATTTATTTAGATTTATTCATTTATTAGATTCGGACATATAAAACATGCTGAGTATGTGTTTCATCAGTGCAGCCAGAGCCCAAGGCATAAGCGAACTAAGCACCTGCTTAGGGCCCCACGGCCAGTAGGGGGCCCCCAAGAGCAATAAAAAAAAAAAAAAAACATTTTATATATTTTTTATTTTTTGCATGTATGAGTGATGCTTTCTGTATGATAAAATACATATTATTGTAATAATAAAATAAAGTAAAAACATTTTAGTGCTGCTGCTGATGTAGGCCTATGATTCTTACTGCTGATCTGTCAAAGCTCCGCTACCGTTATGTGCCTCCTGCTGTGCAATGTGGACTGAGCATCTAAAGCGCAGGTAGTTGTGAGACAAAACAATTTTGCAAAAAAGGACATATCCTTCAGGAGCAGAGAAAAGAAAGATGAAGAAGGGAAAAAACGCCAAGATACAGGTATGTTTGCATGTCATGGAATGTTAATCAAAGAGATTTTGTGAAGGTGTGTGAATGATCAACAATCAATATTATTGGCAGAAATAGAGGGCCCCAAAATCAAATTTGGCTTAGAGCCTCATTGAGACGTGGGCCAGCTCTGACAGCAGCAGCAGTTCAGTTACATACTAAGAGTAAAGTGTAAGAGTTTATTCAGATAAAAAAAAAAAAAAACGAGGAGACAGAGACGTATTTATAAAACTTTTTTATTTGTTTTTTTTTAATTTAAAGGCTATATCTGAAATGTGTCCGATTCATACCATCTTCTGTGACAACAATAAACCATTGTCAGAAAAAAAACAACTTAACAAACCTTGCAACACGTAGACCATCCAGTATAAATAAAATAAACTGTTTTAATACACAAATAAGCAGTTATTATCATTGAGAGTACGTAGGCCTCTATATAAGTGTGTGAGCCATGCTGTGACAGAAAACAGACGGATTTCAACCCTCAGACACTCTGCACCACCGCCGTCTTCTTTACATCTTCAGAGGAAGAAAAATGGAGCTGTTGCCAAACTTTAAAACTGAGCTATTGTACAAGTCCCACTTGACACACGTGCAGGATGAAACTGGACAACAGGTGGAAGACTTCTACAATAGTCACTGTGGAGGACACCGACCCATCCTGTGTGATATGGAGGCTGTGTTTGAGAGAGCACACAAACCAACTGCAACAAAGAGAGAGAGTGTTTGTTGTCTATTTTCTTCAACATTGTCAGAGGAAAGGTGCCTTGTAGCACTGATTCAAAGAGCAGAAAAACACGACGAAGAGTGAGAAAAAAAACACGACAGGAAGAAACACTTCCTTCAACATTCGGCCATTTCTTCAGACTGTCAGAGAGACAGGAGAAGACAAAGTGAAGTAAAGTGTTTTCACAGAGAAATGAAAAACAGAAAAATTCAAGTCAGGGGTGACTCTTGTCTTCAGAGTCGTGTGAGGATGAGTCCTTCTTTGGAAATGTCTGTAATGATGCTGAGAACAGAAAACTGGACTGTAGTGTGTTAATAATGGAGGCCTGCGTGTGGTTTCATAGCAGCTTCGTTTTTGACGCCACTTTAATGTTGCACGCCATTCAATGTTGGAAGCAGATAAAAGAAGCAAAACTCTGGAAAATGAGAACCGTGGGTCAGACTTTATTTCACTTTATGATCTGTGAACCCCAAAATTTAGCAAACAAATTAATATCATTCGACTATATGATGGATTTCAGGTCATGCTGTGCTTCAGTATAAAATCCTAGTTGTTGTGAAGTCTGCATGTCTGTGAATTCTCTGGGTTCCAACATCACTGCAAAGCAACCAAAATGAGCTGAGCTTGAGGAACTTTTCATCAGGATGGAAGCCTGGACGTGTCAGTAAAAGGGGGTGACACTTTTTCAAAGACAAATACTGACTTTTAATTGAAGGGAGTTGCGGCAAAAAAATTCATGATGTCTCCCAACGTTTTAGCTCAGGATTGAAAAAAGTGACTGATTTGCTGCTGTTCTGCATATTATTCTTAAGAGTTATAATCAAACAGCAAGTTTCAAATACCGTTGGATCTTTGTATTTGAAAATGCCATCAGAAATGTACTGCACTCACTGTATATTGTTTCTCTCATCAAGGTCTCCAAGTTCCTGTAAGGAGTTTTTATCTGATAGGGAACCAGACTGAAGTGGACCCTGAAGCCTCTTTATGACCCTGAAACAGCAAAGGAGACCTTTAGCTAGAAAACTAAACACTTTAACATTCAACTTTGAGACAGCTGCGACGGCTGTGAGTGAAAATGGAAAAAATGATAGTTTGGGGAAAAAAAAGAAAACTGCCTCTTACTGTTTTTTTCACACAGCAAAAAGTTATGAGTTATTGTTTTGACCACAGGGGGCGCCAGAGTCAGCACAAACAGATCTTCACAGCAGCTTTAAGCAAACCGACCGACTATTCACTTTGATCCAGTTTATTTGCTTTGAGGATGTTTATCGGACTTTGAGAAAAGGGGCTTGAAGTGATTTCAGACAGTTACGTGATAGATAGCTTTTATAACATCGTGCAGATGTGCCAAGCTATACTATACTATACTGTTGAAATTACATAGATAGATGGTGTCCTGCATGTTTTGGATGTTTCCCTGCTCCAACACACCTGATTCAAATGATCAGCTCGTTATCAATCTCTGTAATGGCTAAATAACAACCTAATCATTTGAGTCAAGTGTGTTGGGGCAGGGAAACTTCCAAAACATGCAGGACAGTGGGCCTCAAGGACTAGACTTGAGAACCACTGGGTTAGTGGTTTTTGCACAGGCACATGCTTGCTCTGCAATTTTGAAGAGTTTTGGAGTTGCTGTGCTGTATCTAAATGGAAGGATTTTTGTACTTAAATGAATGCAGTACACATCTTTTACCCGTTTTCCTGCAGGTCTGGGCTTCCATGTGTCATGTTTGTACGATGAGGAGAGTCTCCTAGGTATTTTCTGTCCAAGTCTAGGAGTACCAAGGCAACAGTTTGGAGTGTTTTGAGGGTTTGATTTCTGAGTCTCCATTGGGACCCGGACACCAGAAGGCACATGAGGAGATGCTGGGCCGGGCGAGAGACAATGATTATTAAGGATTTCTACAGGATGAACAGGGCGTGATACAGAAACATACTCAGACTTATGAGTGCTTCATCCAATCAGAAAAGAGTGGGTGAGACTCTGCCGATGGTTTCACTAAAGTCTGAATACATGAGTCAGCGTCAGAGCACTTAGAAGAAGTACGTTTTGATGGTGTGAGTGTGTGTGTGTGTGTAGGTAGTTTCACACCCTCAATGGTAGAGTCTGTGTGTGGAGGATGGATTGAAGGAAAATTACCTTTTTTGTTCTGAAGTGAAAAACATCAACAATAACAACAACAATAAAAAACGTTACGCTCACTACGTTAAAATAGGACTAATATTATCAAAAAGGCAAACAGGAGGTGTATTGCAACGCTCTCTACTAAAACACATCCTTCGTCATCATGCTCAATCTCATCATCATCATCATCACCATCCAATCATCATCAGCTGAGACAGTAAGGAGGCGTGGCCTGGGATGATTGACAGCCCAAACTAGCCACTCACATTTCGCCTGTCTCAGTGCAGGCAGGCACACTTGTATGACATAGCAAACATTATATGAGGAACGTTTCCATGGAGACCGACAGCCGCCGGCCTATCACAGCTAGGAGGCGGGTCTTAGAGGGAGAAGCTCTGTCATTAGGCAGCAGGCGTCTCTAGGGAACAGGAGGAGCTCGAAAAGACAGGAGGAGAGGAGGTGTGTGAGTGTGTGTGTGCATGTGTGTGTATGTTTTCAGGTAAGTTTGTTCAGTCTGAGAGTGTCTGTGTTAAGTTTTTGTCTAGACAGCTGGAGGTCTTTCCAAAAGTCAGTCAGTGTACATCAACAATCACTCACACGCACACACACACACACACACACACACACACACACACACACACACACACACACACACACACACACACACACACATACAAAATAGCACTCAGGAAGACCTTGGCAAAAATATGATCAAGAGGGGCTAAAACATCTAATAATAATACTTATTAGGGGTAGGCCAATGCATCAAAGAATCGATGCATCACGATGGAACAGGTGACAATCAATTACACCCCGTATAATACAAATAAAGAAACTAAAGAGATGAAAAAAGGTTAGAAACATAAACTGTCATGGAAATACTCAGTCTGTGTGTGTAGATAGTGCGGTGTATCATCAGCATACAATGTAAATGTGACTGATATTCTCTGTCCTCTCTACCTGTCTTTGTCTTTTCTTTTTATACGGTCAGCCAGCGCAGGTTTCCCTGAATTACGAGTTTAACTCTCTGCTACTCTAACTCTACAAACATTTCTATAAATAATAATTTTACTTTCATTTCTGTCTGCTCTGATTCTGCAATTAGATCATATCCAGTCTCCTGATACCCGCTGCACATCCTCCAGAGTCAGGAACCAAACCAGTAAAACCGGGAGCAGCCAGTTCAATCGCAGTCTAGAGGACTCTAAACCTGCAGAAGATGGGCTCATGGTCTCATTTGGAGGTCAGATTAAGGGGTCTTGATTTGTTCTTTGATTGATACTCTCATCACTCCTTCTGCTGCTTTGGGTTCAGAGATTAGGTTCATTTAAATTTAATATTCAAATGCTTGATCTTCAATAAAACTAAGGAGAGACTGTAAACAAGAAGAGGGAGGCGATGACTTCTGATTATTTGTTTATCTCTGGGGTGGGAGCCGTTACTCTGAACTGTTTCTGACAGTTTGACTGAAGCATTTTCTCTTGACTGATTCTGATGTCGAATTGTCCAATTTAATAAGAAAATGAGAAGTGATTCAATCTTCTGCGATAACAGGATAAATTTGTAGTACTGGGGTTTGGATCTTGTTTGGATTTAGAAACAGACCTAAACTTAAAAAAGACTTAAAGCTAATTTTATTCCACAGCCGTCTGAATCACTTCCATTAAACCGATCAGAGTCTTTGAGGATTTTAGGAAACCAGTTTGAACATCATCTGGGATTTCAGCGAAGATCTTCAGAGACTCTGATGTTTCTATAATTTAACAGACTGATGGTCAAAAATGTAGTCCATGTGTAGGCAGCTGTTCTTGGAAAAAGATGATTTAAAAATAATTCAAAGATTAATTTTGCAGGGATAAGCATAGCAAACCAGTAGGTGGCAATAATTTGTAATCAGTCTGCCACGTCATGGAAAACAAAGTGGAAAGTTTCTTGTAAATATGCAAATACAACAAATTCACTTGGCCAGCTTAATCTGCCATGTTGCAAAATCAGGTTTTCAAGTAACTTTTTTCTGTCCACATGAATTCAGAAGTTTCCAAAAAACTCTGTTTCCATTCGGACTTTGAGGCTAAAATGCAGCAAAAACTCAGTTTTCAAACACACCAGATAACATGGACCAGGCTTTTAAGAAAAAGGACTTGGGGATTAGTTTTTGGTTCGGTTTGGTCCCTGTGGAGGGCGCTGTTGCATAAAGACTGGACTCTGAAGGAAGCTGAGGTCCCTTTTTATCTACAAAAACAAGAAAAGCTTTTACACACTGAGCTAAAGTTTGTCCACTCTCAAAGAGACACCGCAGGACAAGCTGCCACTAACACTCGTGTCACTTTTCAACACTTCGGTGTGTCCAGTTCGAACAGCTCATCCTGGGCTGCGTTTAACACTCAAACAGTTCTGCTGCAAATTCAAACGTCCCCCATAAACACATTGTCAGTCAGAGTCCTCAGATGACTCAGCTCTGTCTGGGTATCGACCCTCGCTAACAACTTTGGTGCAAACCAAATGTGGCCGAGGGCGCCGAGCTAAGAAGCTGTCAAAAGATGACATTGAGAGTCTAGTCACATTCATAACTCTTCTAATTTCAGAAAATTTCTGAATAAATGAAAGTTTGACATTTTGAAGAGGAATAACATGTAGCCTTGTGCTGCTGCTGCTTCAAAAATTCTTACATTTAAGAAAATAAAAGCAACTTCCCACAAACTATCATCATGTTTTCAGAAAATAAAGCCTCTCACTCGGATGGTGGTTGTTACAGATCCTACAGCCCTCTAATAATAAATCAGTGATATTGTTAATCGGGGTTTCAGTTTGGAGCAGAACTCTTTGGGTTTGTTTGAAGAGCGTCTCTGAAAGTGAACCTAAAAACATAAAGACTCTGCTGTGGTTTTCGTGGTCTGCTGCTGGCTGACGGGGATTGTTGTCTTGTTCCTGCTGCAGTAAAGTGCTCAGAGACGCCTGCAGCAGAGAGAGAGGCAGGTCAGCTAAACGCCACTCTGATGTGTGTTTGGACGCCACGGTGCACGCTCACAGAATCACGCCTTCAGGGCCTGACGGGCTCTTGGCTTTCTTCCTCTTTGAAGGGACGATTTGTGTCCCAGTTTCTGCTTTTTTCTCTCTTTTCACCCAGTGAGCTTTAGATTCAGACATTCAAATAAAAACAGCAGTAATAAATGCTAACTCTACTTTCTGTGACATCACACATCTTCTTGATTGGTTCAGGCGTTCGTCCGCTCAATGAAACGAACTCTGATGAGCTAACTCGTATGTGCTTGACTTGTTTGGTCGAGGTAGTGACAGCCAGCTTTGGGATTGGCTAACGATTCAGCCAATGGGATGAGAGAGAGAGCAGAGTTTTTGATTGGGCCCGCAGGTCAGATGCTGACTCAGGTCGGCTCGCAGGACTCTGACTTTTGCATAAACAAGGGATTTTTTTAATTTTTATTAATGATCATGACACTCGCACCAAGCGCATTGAGCAGAAGTCAGATGACACGTTACGTTGACAAGTCGTCGTGCACCGCGACCTCCGGTAAATGACCTCAGGGTCTCTCTCGCCGTGTTTAAGCCTCAAAGACAGAGCTCCTTCACAATAAAAGTCTCCCACTCATGCTTCATCTGCTCATACTAAAAAATAGTGCAATTCTTTTCAGCATTTATATAAATAACTCTTAATTCGTGCTTTGTAAAGTTCGCTCTCGTTTGCATACATGTGTGTATATATATACTTAATACGTAACATATACGTGCCAACATGTATGTAGCAAAATGTTCATGAGAGTTGGCACCTCAACAGGTCACTGATGTTTCTTTTTCTAAAACTAGACGACATAAAAACAGAAACAAACATCTGAACTCATAAGAAACCATCTGGTGTAGAAAAATACCCCATCCACTGTCTGTCATATTGCCTGTTTTCTGTTTCTGATCTTTGTGCAAACCTTCTTTAGAAAACATCAAATAAAAACTTAAAAAGGGATTAAAGCGACAGCTCCTGCACCGCTTGGTGGATATAAGGCATTTAGCTCCAGGACTTCAGCACTGTGCTAAGCTAGTTTAAGATAACGCTATCTGAATACGTTAACGTGCTGCTGTGTCTGAGGGGGCAGCTCCAAGGCGGCACAGGAGTCGCTGAAACCAGAACCAAAAGGGGTCAAAGCAGCAAGAAGGATTATCACTAAAAAACAAAACCTGGAAGAACCAAGAAGATTGCAACATTTCGCCATTTTGCCTGGAAAGGAATTGTTGGTAAGCGCAAAGGAGACGAACAAACAAAAGAACTATCAAAACAAACAGAACAAGTAAATATTTATCATGAATTAAGGTCAGTCTGACAGAAGAGCCAGGCAGTTCTCCAGTCCGTCCTCTCTGGAGCAGGTAGATTTGCTCCGGCCTCCAGGTTTTCCTACCCATCGAGAAGCTCGTTCTCAGTCCTGGTCCGATCCGTTAAGTGGGAAAAATGGACCAACACACCAGCCATGATCACATCCACCAGCCCTGAAACCACTGAACAGCTTCCCAAACAGTCTGGCAGTGGCGGAGCAGCTCTGTCACACCTGCTGGGACTTCTGGGATTTCTCCTTTGTGTTCCTGGCGTTCCTGTTGTCCACGCTTCCCTGCCGCTGAGGCGGAGGTCGCAGTAGGCCATGGATGAAGGAGGACGGGGGCGGCTGTGAGGACGATACAGTCCGGTGGTTCGGCGTCAGAGACGTGGGGTGGTAGTAGTGCCCGATAACCTCGCTGTAGGCCGGAGGGGCGCCATCCGCTCGAGGGCCAGACTTCTGCTGTCGAGATGAGGCCTCCTGGGCTTCCAGGACGCTGACACCAGAGTGGACGCTCGGGGGAGGCGCCTGCAGACTGGACGGGGAAAAACATGAAGGTCATCGATAAAACTAAGTAGAAGACAATGGAGCAAACTGACTGAACTCACAAACAGGATGAGTCCCAAAAACCAGACTGGATTTACATCACAGAGCAAAACACAGACAGTTCATTTCAGAATAAAAGCCCTTCAGGAAGTCAGACTATGGCTGATTTCCAGACACTGCGTTAACGCAGAGACATGGCTGCTCTAGAGACAGGTGAGCGGTAGTTACCTGGCCTGCAAACAGGACCTGGATGGGTTGATGGGGTGGGAATCAAACACAGTTCTGTTGGGTGGCGCTCTGACTGACTCTCGGTTCAGCTCCATCTGTTGTTCAGGGTCTCGGAGCTGCAGGGTGCAGGGGCCCTGGTACGGCGGGGGCTCCTCACCATCTGAGAGGCAGATGGTCGGGGGGAGGTCGATGATGCTCTGTGGCAGGTAGGGATACGTCGGCTGGAAGCGACTCGGGGCGTAGTTGTGCTGGAAGCGCTGAGACTGCAGAGGAGCCTGGTTCTGGGACTGAGGCTCCCTCTGCAGGTAGGATGAGGGGACGGGTCTGTCTGGAGGGCGAGGGTTGTACATCTGGTGCTGAGGGGAGGAAGAGAGATTTGATTTGGTTGATTTTGCCGATTTCTAATTGAAAGAACTTGCCATGAATGCAAAAAACTCACCTCAGTCAGACCGCCATTCATCCCGGTGCCCTCAGAGGACCACAGACCGCCCTCCTGAGGGAAGGAAAAGGAGAAAGTGAGCCATCGAGGACTGACACAAACCCCCCCAGCACAGATTTCAGGAATTAAAATTACAGGATAGAAATGATCAGCCAGTGGAAACTTTCAGTTCAGGGTGCTTAGTGACAACTGCTCAGTTAATCTTTTTATTCTGCATTTGTAATTTTTATCCACTAGGGGGCTCTGGTGGTATATGACAGACTCTGGCTTCTGCAGCACCTTCACAGATCCCCTTTTTTCCAACAGCCTTTAAATCCTGCAGAACTTTTGATTTGTTGCTGCAGTGATGTTAGCGTTCCTGCAGATATGTCGATGAAATTTTGTAGTTCTTTGCCCCATAAAGATATTCTGGTTCAGGTGTTCAGGTTCAGACCTGTGATTGTTTCTCTATGATTTTTTTTAGAATAAACTACCACTGTGGAGGATCATAAGAGGTCACACAGCAGAGAGGACAACAGCAGCTCTTCAGCGCTGACATCATGTTTGAGAGGAATCTTTTGTTTCCGTGAAGATGGTTTTCCAGCCCGTCTGTCCACCTGCCTGACTGACTGTATGTGTGTCAGTGTGTCTGTCTGCTAATCCAAATTAACTGGGACAATGACTCTCCAGAGCTTATCAGCAGCTCTGTTTCACAGTGTGCATGCGTGCGTGTGTGTACCATTATGCTTCATCCTTTACTCATATCTTACTGGGGCCACACACACACACTCGTGCACACTTCAGTTATTTAGTGGCAGGTGACTCAGGAAGTGACGTCATGTTTGTAGAGGCCTCAGGCGTAAATCAGCCCGTGTGTGCGTGTGTGTGTGTTTTCCCTTTAATGGAGGTGTGAGTCAGTGGGCTCTATTTTTGTGTACGCCCCTGAGGCGGCGGAGGGCGGCGAGCCCCGCACAGTTGTATTTTCGTCTGGCGCAGCCCGGCGTATAGCCAGTTTGGTATTTTCGTGGACTGAGGCGCAGGGAGGCGAACCGAGATCCGCCAAGCTGGGCGTGGTAGCGTGGCAGGGGGAGGTGTCCACAGAATCAGCAGGCGCAGTGACATTTTCGTGATCGCCACCGGCGTATAAAATGCGCTGAAAGCTCGCCGATTCAAACCTGGTCAGCTTTCAGCGCAGGCGGAGCGCAGCCGGTCTAGAGGTATTTTGGTAGACCGGCGGCGTATTGGCATACGTCACCGATGCCTCACCGGCAGGTTTCCACAGTGTCAGGCACATTTCAGTGCAATAAATAATCATCAACGACCAATATTCTGAGTCAGCACATACATTTAGATCTATATCGATATATTCTGATCTATATCTGATCTGATGAGCGCGTTTGGCACACGTTTGGACACACAACCTGACCGAATCAACACAGCTGAAACCGCATTAGACACACATGATGAAGTTAACTAGATATGTAATTCGTCTCCCTCCTTTTCTTTCTTCCTCCCCTTTATCACGTGAGGTTTGAATATGAGCAACTTTATGTGAGTGTCTTTATTTATGGAAAAGGGTGTTTGTCTTACCAGTGGGTCCAACATTACACACACCAAATCCATCTGTGCTCATATGAGAGAGTGTGGAGGATGCCCGATGCAGCGCTTACAGTGACACTTGTTGAGGAGCTGCCCTTTGTCGCCATCGTGTGGCATAACTGTCTTCAGACATCTCTTGATCTCCTTGACTACTTCATAAAAATAGTAATACGCCTCGCCGGTGGCGGATTTAAAGGCAAGGAGAGGAGCTTATGTGATTGGTGAAAACAGGTCTTGGCTGTGTGAAACCCACTCCCCGCCCTTTCTCCTCCCTTACTACGACTTACGCCACTGGGAGGAGCTCAGTTAGGGAGGGGGGATACTTACGCCGGGCTGCACCGCTCACCAAAATACCAAATTGTGCTTGGGAACGCCTTGTCGGCGCGGCGGACCTCACTTACGCCGCGCATGCGCCGCGTCGCCGGCGAGGCACGGAAATAGAGCCCAGTGTGTTAGTGTTTGCCTGCAGCAGCGTTAAATCGCTGTGATCACGTTTAGCTGCTCTTCTTCTTTCATTTAAAGCCTGAAACTCTGATCTTTGCTCTGCAGGACTTTCACTGATAATCAGGAAGAATCACAGATTTGAGTTTATTGAAGTTTAGTAAAGTCTCCTTTTTTTATCATAAACATTTTTTTCTGCAGATCTTTCAAATCTTAAAAAGAATTATTCTATATCATGTTTCATGCATCTCAGGTCTTACATTGGCCAATGGCAGGTGTCTCCTGCGTGCGGGGGCGTGTCTGGAAAGGATGGAGCGTGCTGATAGGCGGTAGTGGTTGAGCAGGCAGGTGATGACGACCACCATCACCATCATCACCACCACGATCACCAGGATCTGGACGAACTCCAGCTGGGCTGCACAGACAGAGAGAGACCACATTTACATCCACATTTAACCTTTACTACTTTACATCTGGACTCTTCTGTAGTCTACCTGCACATCTTCACCAAAATACAAATGAATGTTGAGTAATGTTTTATTTAACTTGCAAGCATAAAAATAGGTATGAAAGCACTTCCTGGATGATTGCAAGTTAAAAGCTCAAATCTGTGTATCCTATGAAGTGAGCGTCCCTTGTTTTCATGTAATGCCTTTATTTTGAAATCATGTCCAAATTAGTTATTTGACAGAAAGTGACCTGCACAGCTCTTTTTTTAAGCTTAGAGTGATCTGTCTTTGGATGACGCTGTCACGGCTGCTGGTCGGCTCCATTTATTTCCACTTAACATAAAGAAACAGGAAATACTCCCTCTTGTGTGACCTCCCTCTCCCTCTGCAGCAGTCCCTGTACACTCTCTCTGCTGAGCTGTGTTGAATAAAGCACCATTTTAATAAGACCAATTCATGAAATCTGAAGGCACTCTTAGAAAAACCAGTAAGAGAAAGCTCCAGTTAACTGTATTACCCTAAAATCCAATTGCTCCCAGAGACCAGCAGCAGTAAACTCAAAGATTTTAGAGTTACTTTCTGAGTGGATTTTTATCTTGTCTTTTTTTATGTTTCAATATGCTACCAAAAAATAATAAAAACATAAAAGTTGACACATTAAATGAAATTAAAAGAAACAAAAAATCAGTCCAACAATAAGAACAATCAGCTGTTTGATCTGAACCTTACATGAAAAAACTGAAAATAGTGTAAAAACAAAAACAGGCCATTACTTTCATTCTTTTCAGAGAGAAATAGGATTCAGAGTCAGACAGACAGACAGCAAGTCCTTATGCAGAGGTCAGACACACACACACACACACACACACACACACACAGCCAGGCCAGACAGGACGAGCTTTGTTTAGAGACAGTCTGCTCCAAACCCCCACTCTCCTCCCCCTACAACATTCACACACACACACACACACACACACACACACACACACACACACACACACACACACACACACACACACACACACACACAAACGCTGCCTTTTTCTCACCCTTTCCCCTTGTTGGGAGCAGGCAGAGGTCAGACAGGAGAACAGAAAGCAGACTGGTTTCAGACACTTCACACCAGTTCTCACAGACTGGTTACGCAATTCTGATCAGCTCAGCATTACACAACACACCCACCCACCCACACACACACACAAACACACACAGAGTGAGAGAGAGAGAGAGAGAGAGAGAGAGAGAGAGAGAGAGAGAGAGCTTTATACCTCCAGGATGAGCATTGACAAATGACCTAAACCCTCAGTGAGCTGTCCATGAAGACTAAAAAACTTCAGAAACACAACAAACAGATCACATGATCAACACAGGATCAGCTCAAATACAGATTAGGAGTCACAAAAACCATCTATTTTAAACCTGTGAGCTCTGAGGAGCTGGTCCAGGCGGGCCACTTTAGATGTTTTGATCACAGTCAGAGTTTAAGTTCCATTCCTGCTAAAACCAGAAGTTTATGTGGGATTTGAACCTCCAGCTGCTGCTGTGTTGAGTAAATATCTTTTAAACCTTATAGAAGCTTTGATTATCCATCTCAGTTTTATATATTGACCTTTATACTTCAACTTTTGTTACACATTTAAACTTTGGAAATTCTTGGTTTCAATTGGTCATTTCTGCACCAACTGATTCATGAAACTTTTGTTCTTAGTACCAATAATCTAATTTAGAAACAAACTCCAAAGTAAAATCTGAGCCTGAACTGCAGCTAGACCCTGAGCCCAAAAGAGTATCTCACAGTGAAACAAAGTCTGACTTCAAGTTTGTCGATCTGGTCACAGAAGAACAGAGACACTGATTTACCTGGACATGAAATACTCAATGCACATATTTGATGTTTGACTCTTCACTGCTGCTTTTTTTTCACAGAATAATTAGTTACAAAGGTTAGATGTAGATTAGAGGAGCAGGTGTGTTAGTGAAGCAGAGGGACGAAAAGAGCTGTTGTGATTAGTAACTTTTTTGTGTGTTTTAAAGCGTTTCAGTTCAATAAATTCATACAACTGAAATGTTCAATGTTCTTCATTATCATCCAGCAGTCCTTCTCGTTGTTGTGATAATGAACATCTTTCTTTATCCTAGAAGATTTTAAGTCATTTAGAAGCTTATAAAATGTTTAAGTTTTATAAGCTATAAGTCTGAGCTTATTTATAAATGTGTCTGGTTTGCAGAGATGTATGGAAACTCTCTGATTGCTGTTTACATTCACAACTGCAGTTTTTGATTTAAAATAAACATGAGAATTAGAAACTATAAAGGGATTGCAAAGTAGGAAAAGTCCAACTTTGCATGACCCCCAAAATTGTGCTGTGCAATCAACAAGACCTCTGACTGTAACTTTGGACTGATCAACAGTCTGAAACTCACAAGAATGTAACGATGCAAACCTTCAAACAGCAATAAAAGAGGCTACTCAAGAGGCAGAATTTAGCTGTTACTCCTCGCCTTTTTGCTCTTCAATGGTGTAAAGCTCAAATTCTCTCTGTCAAAACTTCAGTTTAGTCTTTATGATGACTCAGCTGTCTGAAATATTAGACATCTAAAAGAAAGAGGCTGAAAATCAGCATCAAAAATAAGGAAAAACAATCATGGTGCAACCTTCTCAAAGCTGTGTTTCCTTTCTTGGACTCACCGCAGAGTTGTGTCTGGACACAGTTTTCATGGCTGTGACTTCTTGATGAGGGCTGCATAGTCTCCACAGTGCAAAAGTCTTCAGGCTCAAACTTAATTTTCCAGAAACTCTGACCTGAAGATCTTTACCAAACTGTTCAAAATGAACAAAAAAAAAAAAAAAAAAAAAACTGAAAGAAAAGTAAAAACTTAAGTCCCGCTGCAGTAAAATAACTCCAGACTACATGTCCCGAGGATGCTCTGACGCCGTGTGTGTGTCCTCGTCGGCTGACACACACTCTCTGACGCTCTAACAAGCTTTGTCTGCAACTTTTTCTCACACACATTCCCACAGAGTCCAGACACTCAAACACAGACTGAGGAAACAGCTGACCAGCCCGCCCCCCAAAAGCAACCAACACCACTATTACCCAATGGCTGTGAACAAAAGGGGTCAATGTGAGGTGTAGGGGAGAGAGGGGGAGGGAGTGGTGGGAGCGTCTGGGAGACACAGATGGGTCAGAGGGACAGACAGAATAATGATGAGAGAGAGGGGAGACGGGGGGGGGGTCTTATGGATGTAAGAATCAAAGTGGTTCTAGTCTCAGTGCTCAGTGTTTCAATGAAAACCTTCAGGATCCTCTGTGGAGGTCTGGTCTCCTGTCTGAAACTGCAGTAAACTGTGACAGCCCAGTAAACATGGAAACATGATTAAAAGATTTAAGTCACAGAATGGTGTGTCTCATCTGAGTGTAAACACCATCATGGTACCTCAACCAGGGCACCTGTTTGTTTAACAGACCAGAGTCACCTGTGGACAGTGACGACTGAAAAGCTCAGAGGCCCTGATGTGGTCAGCAGTGAAAATCAACCATATCCTCAAGGTCCTCTGACCAATCAGCCCTGAGTCACCTGGACTGAAGGTCTGTATCACTGACCTGCAGTCAGCTGATCTGAACTAAAGGGTTAAAAGGACAGTTACCTTTAGAGCTGCCAAGGTAAGGGGCCAACCTCTGCAGACTCAGGAAATCACTTATTATAACCTTTATTACCCATAACCTCAATAACCTTAACCTACAATGTTAATAACATTTCCTTTAACCTTAATAACCTTTTCCATAACAATAATAACTTTTTCTATAACCTTTCATATAACCTTTATAACCTTTCCTAAAACCTTTATAACCTTTCCTAAACCTTTATAACCTTTCCTAACACCTTAATAACCTTTCCTATAACCTTTCCTATTAAATTGATAACCTTTCCTATAACCTTAATAACCTTTTCCGTAACCTTTGTAACCTTTCATATAACATTAATAACCTTTCCTTCAGTTTTCCTCCCCTGACATTTCTGCAGCAACATTCTACTGAAGGTACCACTTTAGGGACCAGGTTTCATAATATATGAAAAATAAAGTTTGTGCAGTAAGTCAAATAATGTCAAAGATACTGGACTGACTTCAGAAACAGGAGTTTCAGAGTTCACTATGTTCTTCTGCTGTACCAGAAAAAAAGGTGAAAATAAAGTCTGGAGAAGGAAGTTTAAAAAAACAGAAACAGGAACACACACACACACACGCATGCACGCATCCACGCACACAGAGTGAGAGAGAGAAACACAAACACACATGCAAAGAAAGAAACACACAGATACACATTCCTCAGGTTATTAAAGAAAACTGTTCAACAGAACTGACACACTGATGCCAACCCTACCATCTGTGTGTGTGTGTGTGTGTGTGTGTGTGTGTGTGTGTGTGTGTGAGACTGCTGACAGCTGGTGTTGAACTCAACCAAATCAACCAACACATTCACACAACTCCTCTCCCTTGTTTCCTTTCCTTGTTTCCTTCCCCTTACTCTTATGTCTTCGTCTGCGTCATTCATTCAATCTTACTGTCTTTACCTTTTCCTCCCACCTGTACAAATTCAAGCACACATTTCTGTTGTCGCTGCTGCTGCTCTTCAGCTGTGTGAAACCCCAAATAAACCCTTCTCAGCCTCACATCTCTGTCATCAAACACCAACTTTGACTTGTTTCTAAATTAGACTTTACAGGATGAGTAAAATATATGAGACTTGCTTTAATGCTAACAGTGAACTAGAGAGTGAGACCAGTCTCTTTATATTCAGAGTTTTTGGTTTTAAGATGAGGGTTATTATGTCAATGTCATTAAGGCCCAAAATGAACACATTAATTCAGGCGCAGCACATTTCACTTTAAAACAGTAAAAATAATCAAGACTTTCTCTTAAACTGAACTCAAACGTCTCTAAAATATGAACTAAGTGCAGCTGAACAGACTGAGAAAACTCAACCAAACAACAGCAGAAACTATCAGCAGAGTTCCTGAGAAGTGTCGTGGCATTAACTGGGAATCCCTGGAAATCTAAATGAAGATCTGCACACTTGTTGACACTGATGCATATTTCATCACATACAACAGCGTTACCAGTCAAAGAATAAATTCTGTATCAGACAGACAAACTCTTTAAGGCTGTTTCCTCCTCAGACTCAGAGTTTCTGAGCTGTGCAGAAACATGACGTAAAGTCCCTTCATTACATTTACTCCAATCAACACTTTGTAAAGATTTCTTTACTGTATTCATATGAACTAAGAAACTGTTTTAAAATCCAAAATAATAATAAAAAAATCTTTAAATATTATAATCCAGTGATTAAACTCAAAGAGGAGAAAAACCCTTGAAAAGCTTTCTTCTGCATTTTTGTAAAAACTCTTTTATTGAAGAGTTTTTCTGCATTTTAGGAAATTTGGTGTTTCTACATCAGCTGCTCTGATTTGATGCGTCACCATCTGAAATAGCCTCTGACTCAGAGTGTGTGTGTGTGCGTGTGTCTCAGCCTGCAGTAAAACTTGTCAGCTCCCAAAGGGTGGAGGTCAGCGGGTCAGTGAGCAGTCCTTTTCTCCCTGTCCTCTTTTATTTCCTCTCTCCCTCTTTTGGTTTATTCCCTGTTGTCTGTGTCACTCCTTCCCCTCTCTGAAAAATCCCTCTCTCATGTTTCCATCCAGATGTTCTGCTTAATCTTTTCCAAAACAAGGTGTAACATCATTACATAATGATTTCGGTGCACCGACTTTTCCACTTTTCTACACAGCAGAGAAACATTCAGTTTTTTAAACATCCCATGAAAATGGATCAAAATCTGTTTGACTACCTTCAGAGGCAGCAGCAGTGGTTTTAAAGCTGATGTGTTGTGCAGATACAGCGGTGAAAAACAGCCTAAAGGCCTAAAAACACGCCTCAGTGAAGTCACACTAAAGCATTTTTCTTCTTCAGCATGGTGCCGACAGCAGCCAAGCTCTGCTGCACATGATTTAGTCTTCATTACCAGACAGAGAATGTCCAAACTTTATCAAAAACAAGAAAATACTGAAAGCACGGCTTTTGTCCATACTTCTGGAAAAACATGCTCCGTTAAATTTAATGGATGCACTGACTTCAAGATGCAGTCGCCACTCTACTTCACCTGATACACAAGCATCTAGGAGTTAACAAAAACCATGTCAGGTTACTGTGTATTGATTTTTCGTCAGCTTTCAATACTTTGCAACCACATGTATTGGTCAATAAACTAGTATGCTCTTATGGTATAAATCCATGCCTAGTAGGATCAGGGTTTTTCCTGGCTCAAATTGAGGCAGAGGTGGCACCATCCTGACCATGCGCCACGACGTGCATGTATTTGTAAATTCAACCGATTCACTTTCTTTTACAGGCAACATACTTTAAGTTAAGAGTTCAAAAAAAGAGTGTGACCATTATCATGTTAAAGCATTCATTTATTAAAACTATATACATACACAAATCAGCTGGCAACTTTAAATTGAAAGTACACTTCATCCACACATCTCACAACCAGACAGAACATTTCAGCCTCCTCTTTTTCATTCTGTAGAACCTCCTCATGCCCTCCTTGTAGTCCAAGGCCTCCTGGTCTGGTCCATCAACGGCCACCTTACAACAGACATCCAAGTGCCTCTCCTTCAGTCTGTTCCACAGAGGTGTCTTCACCTTAAACAAAACAATTCATCATGCATTAAGTATTTTTGTTTTTATTCTGATACAGACATGAAGAGTGATAGTGTTTTCAATCATATATATGTATACGCTGCAGTGTCCTCCCTAAAAAAAACGACAACCAATTATTTCTTAAACTGTCTAAACTATGTTATTTATTTTTTGTAACTTTATTAGTTGAGTTTTTTTAGGTACTACCATCTTTAATATATTTCTCCTTCTCTTCAGCTGCTTTGTGAATGGCTGTCACCTCATGTCTTTTTAATGTGTCCAGCCTGTAGTTGGTTGATGGCTGTCTCACTAAGGAGGCAGCAATTGCCTGCTGTGTTGGGGCACAGTGCTTTTGGCATAAATAACAGTGCATGCCTTCCTCAGTATGCCTGAGCCAGGTAAATTGATTGAGCCACTGCTTGTCAAAGCCACTGGCTCTGTGTTTTTGAGAAGATCTGGAAAGACGAATAAAAACCACGTACACGTCGGCTTTGCGTTGTTATGCTCCTAATTGGAAACTAATTAATTAATTACCCTCGCCTCGCCGACTCGTCCTGTCCTGCATTCTGACCCTCGCGATCACCAGTCCCTTGTGAAGTACTTTCAGACCTGACACAAATTTCCACGTTGTCACCAACATGAATTAAAGCATTTTAACTGCCTGTTACGTTTTTTCTCTGCTGTGTTTCACCTGGACTCTTGACTTTCCTCCTCGCGAGGTCGCTTTTTAAAGTACTGGCTGATTTTGCCTGTCATAACTGCAACGCTAAAAACGGAGGAAACTTTTTTTTTTTTTAAATAAACACGACATGCTTGGATGCAAAAAAGAGAAGCAGTATTTACCTGTTTGTACCATCCGCCAGCGAAAATCAGGACGCCGACAGCACCAACTAGCGGGAAAAAAAACTTGAAAAAACATGATTCGATCCGTTTCTTCTTCGGTAGATGCTTCAGGTCTTTCCGGTGCACTGCTGTTGATATAGCGCCTCTATAGTGGCGCAACGCTGCAACTGCAGTTAAAATACGTAGCTGCTGCAGAGGGACATCAATCGCTCAATCAACACAGCTGGAGCTTTACGCTGTGTTGAGCGGAATCAATCGCTCTGGCTGGGGGCGGCACAAAATTAGGTGGAGGCGGCCGCCACGCAATTTTGAACGCAGGAAAAACCCTGAGGATGGATATTTGATTTTCTAACAAACAGATCTCAATGTGTAAGGGTTAATGAGACAATGTCCAGCTTTCTGTCATCTTCTACTGGATTGCCCCAAGGGTGTGTTTTATCTGCATTCTTATATATACTGTACACAAATGATTGTACTAGCAGTTTCCACAACAGACACATCATCAAGTACGCTGACGACTCAGTTATCCTCAGCCTGCTCAGACAATGAGAACCGTCACGGGCCGTTTCTCAATTACTTCCTGTCTCATTGTGACAATGTCTTCTTGCAGCCTAATGCTGACAAAACAAAAGAACTTTGTATTGATTTCAGACGTTCTTCTCCCCTCCCCCGCCAATGCAGTATTGTCAACGGGCAATCTGTAGAGCTTGTGTCCAGCTACAAATACCTTGGCACAATCATCGATAACAATTGGAAATTTGACCTTAACATGAGCATGTTGCACAAAAAAGGTCAACAGCGACTGCATTGTTTGAGGAAACTGGCTAAGTTCAATGTGGATAAAACTCTCATGAAACTGTACTATTGTGCTTATGTTGAGTCCATTATTACTTTCTCTATTATCTGCTGGTTTGGTAATCTTAGTGTCAAGGATAAGGACTCCCTTGGGAAAATTGTCAACCTGGCCTCTAAAATAACTGGCACCCAAATGAACAGCCTAGAATACATCTATAACAGGCAGGTGCTCAGTAAAGTGAGGTCCATTCGAACTGATAGAGCTCACCCACTATCTGCAGAGTACATAGTGTCTGGGCGCCTGCAAGCCCCCCTCACCTCTCAGGTTTGGTTTACACGTTCCTTTGTCCCTACCATCAGCCTACTTATAGATGCTGAGGGTAGACCGAGGAGGTAGATCTAGATTTAGATCTTAGCACTTTAACTTCATGTGCAATTCTTCCTAGCACCTTAACTTCATGTGCAATCTTAGTACTTGGAACTTGGTGGGTTTTTTTAGTATTTCTGCTATTTATGTCTTGTATATTGTATTGTTCTATGTATTAATGTATGTCTACGATGCTGCACCCAATTTGCCCCTCGGGGACACTAAATAAAACTGAACTGAATTGAACTGAACTGAACTGACTTGGCACTCTGCAGAAAGTCCAAGTTTTAGCTATGAGCATCCAAATCAAGTCAACTCAAATATGTTAGAGATATACGAGAATGAAGGTGCTTCATTTTCCTTTTCAATGCAAACAGTGAATTCAAAGAGCCCAAATATTCTGACTAACAGTCCGACAAAGTTGATGTTTACAACCGCAGAGCTTCCAATCAAAGAAAAGTCTGCATGCTGGTAAATGTTGAGCTCAGAGCTAACACTAAAGTCATGATATCAGTCTGTGGAAGGAAATATTTGATCATCATGGTTCAAACCTGTCTCCTGTCAGTGCTCTAATATTCATGAAGTACATTTATACAATAATAATAACAACAGTAGCTTTTAAACTGCATCAGGGATTAGTGACCCTGGCTCTCTCTGCACTTAAGTTTCACTTCTTTCAGTGTGAAGGAAAACAAGCTAAAAGCCAATAAAGTGTTTTCATTTCTTGGACTGTTGCATGAGAGAGGCCACTGATCTCTTCCCTCCCTCTGGGGTGTTGTCTAGACAGGAGGAGGCTGTGAGCCCGGCAGGCAGGCAGGCAGGCAGGCAGACACTCCACGGTTAATCTAAAGCAATTAGCTCATTTGTCATCCACTGCCTGCTCTCTGTCTATTCTCCTCCTCCTCCGCCTCCTGCTTTCAGCTAAAGGTCACAGGCGGTCACTGTCGAGTCGGATGGCCCAGAGAGCAGACAGACTGAGGGAGAGGAGGGGATCAGGAGGGCAGGGAGAGGAGTGGAAAAGTGGAGGATATGACAGACCAAGATAGAGGGGGAGAAAAGGATGTGGGAAAGAAGGAGGGAGTGAAGGAAAAGATCTAAGAAAGAGGAGGAGAGAAGGAAAAAGGGGGGCATGGAGCAGATTTATTGTTTTTGCAAAAATCTGAAAGTATTGCATGATTCATGGTCACGGCTGAAGAACTTTTTGCACAAGTTTTAGAAAGTATTGAACTCAAACTCAAACTGTAAGTCAAATAACTTGACAAGACGCTGTTCTGGAGTCAGGAATGATGCCTGCAAGGCAATGCTCAAGGAGCAAGACAAGCAGATGCATGTCAGGAGCTGACCTGTGACAGGTGCACCATCATACAGAGGTCGATAAATGCAGCACAGCAAGCTCACAGCTGTTTCACAGAACTGACAACTTTAAATACCAGACTTCATAAATCATGACGACTCTTTTATCACTGAGTGTGTTTGTTATCACTCACAGACAGGGACAGTACATTATGTTTGCTGTAACCTGCACAGCAAGAACACAGAGGTACACCTGTGGAGCACCAGCTCTCATGGAGGCATGGACGCTACGTTAGCTAAACTAATGCAGAAGGACCCAACAGCAACGTCTGATAACCAGAGGAGAAACAAGTCAGAAGTGTGGGAGCTATATTCAGGACAATGGGCAGGACTCTATAGTGGAAATCACCTCCAAAAACCATAATCTGTGAACATCACTGCATGAATGAGGTTAGGAGCAAGAATGGGACACCATCCAGAACCTGGTCTGCCGGGTTCACTAAGGTCTACAGAGGGTTGGTGAAAGAAGAGCTGAGGACAAACGATTAGAAACAAGAACCTGGAACAACTTTTTCAAACTATAATATCTAAAGAACAGAATAGATTTAGAATAGATTTTAAGGTTGCTATATTTGTTTTTAAAGCTCTTAATGGCTTTGGCCCATCTTATTTATCTGATCTACTTTTACCTTATGAGCCAGGTAGAGGCCTCAGGTCTTCAGGGAGTTCTCTGTAAACAATACCGAAAGTTAAAACCAAGACATAAGGTGAGGCATCTTTTTATTACTATGGCCCCCGTCTATGGAACAGCTTACCTGAAGACCTGAGGACTGCACCTAATCTTAATGATTTTAAAAGCAAACTGAAAACATACCTTTTTAGTCTTGCTTTTAACTAAATTTTATATTGTTAACTTGAGGTTATTTAGCATTTATCTATTCTAGTTTTAATCACAAAAACATAATCTTTTATTGAGCTATTTTGGTGCTCCTATTTTAGCATATTTTACTGTTGTTTTTATTTTATTTTATTTATTATTTCTTAAATCTCATTCTATGCTACTTTGTTTTTAGATTTTAACCTAAACTTCCAGTGTTTCCTTATCTTGAGTTTAAAATGCCATTTCCTCAGTGCGCACATTCCTGTTTCCACGAAACAAAGCCCTTTTTAAGTTTATGCATTTTAATACTGTTTCTGATGCATTAAGATCGTGGGGTGGGAATGAGGGATGGGGCTGGGGTAGATTTGGGTATTCTTTTAATCTTGGGTCGGGGTAGATTTGGTTATTCTTTGTTTCTTTTATTCCTTTTTTCTATGTAAAGCACTTTGTGGTACATGCTGTGTATGAAATGTGCTATATAAATAAAGACTGATTGATTGATTGATTGAAAATAAGCAGAAACTATATATATATATATATATATATATATATATATATACATATATACAGTACAGGCCAAAAGTTTGGACACACCTTCTCATTCAATGTCTTTTCTTTATTTTTTTATATGACTATTTACATTGTAGATTATTACTGAAGGCATTAAAACTATGAATGAACACATGTAGAATTTTGTACTTATAAAAAAAGTGTGAAATAACCGAAAACATGTTTTATATTCTAGTTTCTTTAAAATAGCCACTCTTTGCTCTTGATGACAGAAGTGCCTTGTCAGGGTTACTTCAGGCACTCCTGTGAAGTAAAAACCATTTCAGGTGACTACCTCATGAAGCTCATTGAGAGAACAGCTTAAGTTTGCAGCGCTATCAAAAAAGCAAAGAGTGGCTACTTTGAGAAATCTAAAATATAAAACATGTTTTCAGTTATTTCACACTTTTTTCTTAAGCACATGATTCCACATGTGTTCATTCATAGTTTTGAGAATCTACAATTTAAATAGTAATGAAAGCAAAGAAAATGCATTGAATGAGAAGGTGTGTCCAAACTTTTGGCCTGTACTGTATATATATATATATCAGGGTTTTTCCTGGCTCAAATTGAGGCAGAGGTGGCACCATCCTGACCATGCGCCACGACGTGCATGTATTTGTAAATTCAACCGATTCACTTTCTTTTACAGGCAACATACTTTAAGTTAAGAGTTTAAAAAAGAGTGTGACCATTATTATGTTAAAGCATTCATTTATTAAAACTATATACATACACAAATCAGCTGGCAACTTTAAATTGAAAGTACACTTCATCCACACATCTCGCAACCAGACAGAACATTTCAGCCTCCTCTTTTTCATTCTGTAGAACCTCCTCATGCACTCCTTGTAGTCCAAGGCCTCCTGGTCTGGTCCATCAACGGCCACCTTACAACAGACATCCAAGTGCCTCTCCTTCAGTCTGTTCCGCAGAGGTGTCTTCACCTTAAACAAAACAATTCATCATGCATTAAGTATTTTTGTTTTTATTCTGATACAGACATGAAGAGTGATAGTGTTTTCAATCATATATTATATATATGTATACGCTGCAGTGTCCTCCCTAAAAAAAAACGACAACCAATTATTTCTTAAACTATCTAAACTATGTTATTTATTTTTTGTAACTTTATTAGTTGAGTTTTTTTTAGGTACTACCATCTTTAATATACTTCTCCTTCTCTTCTGCTGCTTTGTGAATGGCTGTCACCTCATGTCTTTTTAATGTGTCCAGCCTGTAGTTGGTTGATGGCTGTCTCACTAAGGAGGCAGCAATTGCCTGCTGTGTTGGGGCACAGTGCTTTTGGCATAAATAGCAGTGCATGCCTTCCTCAGTATGCCTGAGCCAGGTAAATTGATTGAGCCACTGCTTGTCAAAGCCACTGGCTCTGTGTTTTTGAGAAGATCTGGAAAGAGGAATAAAAACCACGTACACGTCGGCTTTGCGTTGTTATGCTCCTAATTGGAAACTAATTAATTAATTAATTACCCTCGCCTCGCCGACTCGTCCTGTCCTGCATTCTGACCCTCGCGATCACCAGTCCCTTGTGAAGTACTTTCAGACCTGACACAAATTTCCACGTTGTCACCAACATGAATTAAAGCATTTTAACTGCCTGTTACGTTTTTTCTCTGCTGTGTTTCACCTGGACTCTTGACTTTCCTCCTCGCGAGGTCGCTTTTTAAAGTACTGGCTGATTTTGCCTGTCATAACTGCAACGCTAAAAACGGAGTAAACTTTTTTTTTTTAAATAAACACGACATGCTTGGATGCAAAAAAGAGAAGCAGTATTTACCTGTTTGTACCATCCGCCAGGGAAAATCAGGTCGCCGATAGCACCAACTAGCGGGAAAAAAACTTGAAAAAACATGATTCGATCCGTTTCTTCTTCGGTAGATGCTTCAGGTCTCTCCGGTGCACTGCTGTTGATATAGCGCCTCTATAGTGGCGCAACGCTGCAACTGCAGTTAAAATACGTTGCTGCTGCATCGGGACATCAATCGCTCAATCAACACAGCTGGAGCTTTACGCTGTGTTGAGCGAAATCAATCGCTCTGGCCGGGGGCGGCACAAAATTAGGTGGAGGCGGCCGCCACGCAATTTTGAACGCAGGAAAAACCCTGTATATATATATATATATATATATATATATATATATATATATATATATATATTTGAGTGTGTGTGTGTGTGTGTACACTACAGGCCAAAAATTTGGAAGCAAGGCCATTACAGGCCGAACAGTTGGGAGTAGTTTTTTGTTCACAATGCTTTTTTAAAATCCAGCATGAGTTTTATGTATTTTGGGATGTATTTACTCCATGATCAGATGTTGCTTTCATGGAAATGCACCATTTTACTCCATTTACCTTTAGATATACATTGATGTTAACAGACCATTGCTAAATATATGTCAGCAAAAGATAATAAGGGCTTAGTTTTAGGGTTGAAAATATTTGCAAGTCACAATTTCAGTGCAAAAGCAAAAAAACAAATCACAGTTGATTATTCACTTCAACTTTTTGGCTTTTGAGAGTCTGCATACAAAAATCCTAATAAATCTCAACTGCGTTCAAACTACCCCAAAAATGGCTAGAAAGATGCAACTGAGTAAAAAAACAAAAGTACAGATTTGTACATTGAGGAAAGAAGGATACGCAGAAAGAGAAATTGCAAAATGCCTAAAGGTGTTTAACAAAGGAGTCCTATACACTCTGAAGAGACTAGAGCCTGGAAGTTATGATGATAGAAAAAGACCTGGACGAAAGAGAGATACTACAAAAGCAGAGGATAAACATAGCATTGTCACCAGTAAGAGAGATCGACAAAAGACAGCACCAAAAATAAGGGGGGAAATCAACATGACAAGGTCGAAACCCATATCTCTGACAACCGTGAAGTGACATTTTAGAAAAGCTGGTCTGAAGGGTTGTGTATCTGCAAAAAAAACACTACTTCGTCCACAGAACAAGAAAAAGAGATATGAGTGTGCAAAAGCTCACAAAAATTGGACTTATGATGACTAGAAACAAGTTTGCACTGTTTGGTTCAAAACACAGAGTCTATGTCCGCAGACAAACTGGTGAACGTCTGAAAGCTCCATGTGTTACACCCACAATTCAGCATGGAGGTGGCAGTTCCATGGTATGGGGATGTTTTGCAGGTGATAGAGTAGAAGATTTGTTTGATGTAAAGGGTATCATGAAGAAGGAACAGTACCACTCCATCCTCCAGCACCATGCTGTTCCATCTGGACTCAGACTTGTGGCTCATAAGTTTGTTTTGCAGCAAGACAATGACCCTAAGCACTCTGCCAAGCTTTGTCAGGGTTACCTAGACAAAAAAGAAGAGGAAAGTGTTCTTCAAAATGGTTTGGCCCCCTCAGTCTCCAGACCTTTCTCCAATTGAGCTTGTGCGGGATGAATTGGATCGATCGGTCAGAATAACGTGTCCCACGAATCAGCAGTCTCTTTTTAATGAACTTAAGAAAGCTTGGAATGCAATCCCTGGAACATACCTTAAAAAACTTGTGAAACGAATGCCTGGTATATGCCAAGCTGTTGTTAAAGCCAGAGGAGGTTACTTTAAAGAAAGCAAAGTCTGAGCAGCAATAACTCAAATACCTAATAATTATAGTCAAAATGTCTTCTGATAACTTACTCTTTACACAATAGTCATGTTTATTGTGTTGCAAATTATATATAGGAAACTATGATCTTTTTTGTACAAATCTGATCTTGCTTCCAAACTTTTGGCCTGTAGTGTGTGTGTGTGTGTGTGTGTGTGTATATATATATATATATATATATATATATATATATATATATGTATATATATATGTGTGTGTGTGTGTGTGTGTGTGTGTGTGTGTGTGTGTGTGTGTGTGTGTGTGTGTGTAAAACAATACTTTTTCAGGGTTCAAACATGTGATCTACAGTCCTAGCTTTGTTTTCACAGAAATTCTGACTTGAAATGGTTTGCAAACTTGGAAAGAAAGCACATACTGTTATTACACCTACTTTCCCTCAGTGCAAGGGGTGAAAACACACGTTTGAACAGTTTCTGTTTCAGAGTTGCAGCTTCCTGAGTACCCTGTGTCCTTTTCCAAAGAAGGAAAATAGAAAAAGAAAATAAAACAAGGAGGAAAGAAGCAGCTGAAGCAGAGAGAAAGAAAAGGAAAAACAGAGAATGAAAGGGTTCGAGAGAAGCAACAAAATCAGACAGAGGGAGAGAGAGAAAGAGAGAGAGGCTCACAAATGCCTCCCTCCCTCACCCCCTCCTCTAAGTCCTCGGATGACTCGACAGTCTGTGTAGTCAGAAATAGCCCAGACAGCTGTGTGTGTGTGTGTGTGTGTGTGTGTGTGTGTGTGTGTGCGTGCATGTGCATTTGTGTAGCTGTGTGAGTGTGTGTGAGAAAGAGAGAGGCTTATAGGTCATAGGTGCACACAAATTGCTTGCTTGCCAATTTCCATGAGAAAGGCTAGACAGGGTAAAACAAGGGGGGGGGGGTCTCTCTCTTTCTGACACATACACACACGTACATATGCACACACACACACACACAGAGAGAGAGAGACAGACAGGCAAACACACACAGAGACAGAGACACACAAACACACGCACTGACTTTGGAAGCCATGGTCATGGTGCAGCCAACAAGTGTGGGAACTTTGGTCCCCCAAGCTCCCACTGTTGCTTTCACCAGTAGGAAAAAACAGAGAGGGAGGTGTGTGTTCCTGCTTTGCTGTGTGTGTGCAAGTGTGTTTTGTTGAAAAGGTCAGTTGTGATACCTCAGCATTTATCTCTTTATGAGCTGTTTATTCCTGTCTTCCCTGAACTAGTGCAATACTGAAAATCAGAGTTAATTTTATTTTTATGCTTTAATCGACTAATAAACTCTTTTAATGAAGGCTTTCAGTCTTCAAAATACTTTATTAGAGGGACTTTAATGACATCTAAGTATAATTAAGTCTCAAAATGCCTCTAATCAAGTCCTCACATTACTACCTGACAAACTTTGAGATTTAACTCAGTAGAGGCACAGAGGCACAAATCTTAGTCTCGTGAATTTTGAAGATATTTTGGTGCTATGGGCAGGTGCTTAGTCCTGCCGAAAAAGGACTTATCACCTGGACCTGAACCATAAGACTGCAGACACCTAAACTAGACCTCCCATCCTTTTCCCTCAGAGTCATTTTTCCAAACTTTTCTGCATTTATATTCCAACATGAGTGAGTCTAAGGCAGTTTAATATGAATGTACAGTAACAGCACAAACAGAGCAGTGTGCAGCTGAGATACGAAGAGCTCTCTGGAGTAGGACGGGGGGAACAGACCGATCAGTCAGAGAGACAGAGAGAGGAGCGCGAGTCCAAATTTAGCCAGCTAATCCAGGGAACTCCCACGTTTAACTGTGAGTCCTGTCTGGAACGTTAGCAATGCTACTGCTATCAGTGAGTGGGTCACTGACACTGACACAGGACACGGCTCATGCGATCAAGGAAAAAAGACATGACTTCATTTACTTGCTTCTGAAACGACTGAAGGAATCTTGATTGATTTGAGACATTAGGGGATGTTCTCAGCAGAGAGCTTTTGGTTCATACTGGCCATAAAATACTGATACCAGAACTGAATCCAAGCTTCTGGACTTTCCAGAAACCTGGAACTCTGGAGACCAAACATTTGGAATCCAGCACTCAGGATACCAGGTCTTTGGAACCCATCGTTTCAAAAACCTGGTATTCTGGGACCCAACACTCTTGAGCCAAGCAATCCTGAACCCATCATTCCTAAGCTCAATAGTCTAGAAACTTAGGGCCCTTGAACCCCCGAACCCCAAAGAATAGCATTCTAAAACTCCTAGTACCCTAGTACCCTAGAAAAGAGGCACTCTGGAACCCAGAACTCTGCAATCAAGCATTACAAAAACTGACCATTAGAGAAACCAAGCTTTCTGGTAACCCAACATTTCAGAACCTGGTACTCAGGAAAACAAGCTTCTGGAACCCATAGCTCTGAAACTTAGCATTATAAGAAACCCAGCATTTAGGAATTTAACAGTCTGGAACCCAGCACTGTTAGAACCAAGCATTGTAGAACCCATTGTTCAGTAAACCAAGCAATCCAGAATTTTGGACTGTGAAAAACTGGAAATCTGAAACCTGGCATTCCAGAATCCTAGTGTTCAAGAATGCCAGACATCATTGAACCCAGCATTCAGGAAAACAAGCCTCCGGAACACATTATCCTGAATCCAACCTTCTGGAATTTTGGAACCCAACACTCTTGAACTCAGCATCACGAAACCTGACGCTCTCAATCAAGACATTCCAGAACCTATTGCTCTGGATCACGGCATTCCAGAGACCTGGCACTCTTGAGCCAAGAATTTGATCTAAGATTCCAGAACCAAGCATTCTGGAAGCTTCTTCAACTGTTGCCATGGATCAACATTGTGTTCATCGATTTAAAATGCTAGAAGTATGGCTGTCTGTTTTGAACCCCAAATCTGAGCTGGAAATGTTAGAGCTGGCCCAAACCTCCCTGGAAATACAGAACAGAGTGGGATGTTTCTGTTTAGTGAGTGTTTCCTTTATTTTGCTCTTTTAAAGAAATCCGAAAAACGCACTGTCATGATTGGGAAAAATATCCTGTAGCTTTTGTTCAAATGCTCCAATTACTTTTTAAATGGACTGCTTAGAGCAGCCTGCAGTCTCACCCTGGGATTACTCTGATACACCTTTACCTCAGAGTCTGAAACTCCGCCCAAATTTAGAACTGACTTTGAGGTTTAAACTCCATATATATCTCTAGAATATGAAACAGCATGTTGGCTCCTCTATAGAGCAGCACATTTATGATGCAGATAAGTGTATAATAGCCATCAGAGCTTCAGACACTGCCCAGAGTCTGACAGAGCAGAGTGACACATCCACAGAGGGTTACAACTCTCCTGTTTGGGTAACTGGCCTTTAAATGTGACCGCAGACAGAAGTCTGGCTCTAATTTAAGGATTTCTATCAAATAAATACAAACCAGGCAGACCTGCTGAGATCAGACACATTTAAGACAGACACCACACACCTCGCTTTCATGGTCATTTACATTCACTGTGGAAAAAATGAGAATATGTAATGTCCAACAAGCTGAAGACCAAAACACACTTTTATACACACACAGACACACACTGCTTCTCTTTGTAGGAGCTGACCTGCAAAGCATTCTGTCTGAAACATATGAAAATCAAACCTCATTATCAGCTGCTCGTCTGGCTCTCTGAGTGTGTGTGTGTGTTTGTGAGTGTGTGCGTGTGTGTCTGTGTGTGTTTGTAAGTATGTATGTGTGTTACACTCATTAGAATTCTAGCCAGAAGGAGCTAGACTCCCCCTGTCGCCTCGCAACCCCGCACACACACAGACCTGTGCACAAGTGCGCGCACACACTCACACTGCTATTCATTTGAATGTGAAAGCGAGAGGGAAGTCAGACAGAGTCGCACAGGCCGGGTCACATGCAGACGTTTGTGTGTGTGTGTGTGTGTGAGTGCATGTGTTATGGCTCTGATCCAGTATGATACCAGACATAACAGTAACCATTAACAGTCTGCAGCGGATGTACAAAAATACACACACTCACATTCTCAGTGCATCAGGTTGGTAACAGGCGTTAAAGGCTATTATCGTGTCCTAAAGCCAGGGAATAGAACCGTCACACCTTCATCACATGACCTGTGATCTATCCCTGATATTTAAGATGACATTGTCTGTGTCCTAAAGTGTTTCTGTCTCTTAAAACCTTAAAGATTAAACTCTCACTCGTTGTTTTAGTTTTTTAAATCTTGACTTTAAATCTCATTATAAATGTCTGTCTGAAAATTTTGAATTTCTGTCCACAAATGTTTTACTTCTTATACCAAATTTTAATATCCTGAATACTGTTGCTACTTTTTATATTATAATTCTGACCATTCTCCAGAAAAGTCTTTTTTAATTTTCTATAATTACACTTTTATCCCCTAAATTAATTTTTTAATATCATCCTTAAATTTCACTTAAGTAATATAATTTACATTTCTTTTTATCCAATAACTTTTACATGTAACTGATATTTCTGTCCTCTATTCCTATATTTCTGCTTTTTGAATCCCAAAATTCAAAAAATTTTATTCTTTATGTTGGAATTCTTTTAATTGGAAAATTAAAATTTTTAATTTCAAACCTTTTATTCACATTCTTCTACATCATAAAAAAGAGTTGAGCATTTTCTCTGATGTTTGAACCACTTATCCAAAAGCCTGAGTTGACTTCAGTGTGTTAGAAGGTGAAAGAAAAATCACTGAGACCATGACTTTCTAACAGTCTGTTACTGTGCAACAGTAACCGCTGTCTTTATGACCATGTATTTTTGCAAACCTTTTCCACACAAATTAAAGATTAATATTTGAAAACACTCAATACTCTGTCTTCAGTTTGTCTTCAGTTCAGTTCAGTTTTAGTCTGTGGTTTGAGCTCCTCACAGTTTCTGGTCCTCATTAAAACATGGAGAGGATTTGAATCAGAGAATCTAACGTGGCAAAAAAAAAAAAAAACTCCTCCTGAAAAAAGATTCAAGGACAAACCTGTTTTCTGAGAGTGCAGGTGTGTGTGTGTGTGTGTGTGTGTGTGTGTGTGTGTGTGTGTGTGTGAGCCAGACATGCTGTTTCTGTTCAAACAGTGTTTTACTGCCAAACTAAAACCAGCTCAGCCGGTCCTTACACACACACACACACACACACACACACACACACACACACACACACACACACACACACACACACACACACACACACGGCTAGACACAACAACGTCTGAATGCTCTAAATGTCTGACCCTGTATGTGTGTGTGTGTGTGTGAATTTACAGTGCATCCGGAAAGTATTCATACCACTTCACTTTTTCCACATTTTTTATGTTACAGCCTTATTCCAAAATGGATTAAATTCCTTTTTTTCCCTCAAAAATTAAAATACCCCATAATGACAAAGCGAAAACTTTTTTTTAGAACATTTTGCAAATATATTGAAAATAAGACACTCAAATGTTGCATATATATAAGTATGCACACCCTTTGCTATAAAACTCAAAATTGAGCTCAAGTTCATTCTGTTTCCACTGATCAGCCTTGAAATGTTCCTCCAACTTGATTGCAGTCCACCTGTGGCAAATTCAGCTGATTGGACATGATTTGGAAAGCCACACCTGTCTATTTAAGATCCCACAGCTGACAGAGCACGTCAGGGCACAAACCAAGCCATGAAGTCGAAAGAATTGTCTGTAGACCTCCGAAACAGGGTTGTATCAGCGCACAGATCTAGGGAAGGTTACAGAAAAATATCTGCTGCATTGAAGATCCCAAAAAGCACAGTGGTCTCCATCATTAAGAAATGGAAGACGTTTGGAACCACCAGGACTCTTCCTAGAGCTGGCCGCCCAGCCAAAATGAGCAAGTGGGGGAGAAGGTCCTTGGTCAGGGAGGTGACCAAGAACGCGACGGTCACTCTGACAGAGCTCCAGCGTTCCTTTGAGGAGATGGGAGAACCCTACAGAAGGACCACCATCTCTGCAGCACTCCACCAGTCAGGCATTTATGGTAGAGAGGCCAGACAGAAGCCACTCCTCAGTAAAAAGCACATGACAGCCCGCTTGGACTTTGCTAGAAGGCACCTGAAGGACTCACAGACCAGGAGAAACAAAATTCTCTGGTCTGATGAAACGAAGATCCAACTCTTTGGCCTGAATGCCAAGTGTCATGTCTGGAGGAAACCAGGCACTGCTCACCACCTCGCCAATACCATCCCTACAGTAAAGCATGGTGGTGGCAGCATCATGCTGTGGGGATGTTTTTCAGCGGCAGGAACTGAAAGACTTGTCAGGATCGATGGAAAAATGAATGCAGCTAAGTACATCGAAATCCTTGATGTAAACCTGCTCCAGAGCACTCAAGACCTTCGACTGGGACCACATTTTATCTTCCAGCATGACAATGACCCTAAGCACACGGCCAAGAAGACAAAGGAGTGGCTTCAGGACAAGTCTCTGAATGTCCTTGAGTGGCCCAGCCAGAGCCCAGACTTGAACCCGATTGAACATCTTTGGAAAGACCTGAATGTAGCTGTGCACCGACGCTGCCCATTCAACCTCACTGAGCTTGAGAGGATGTGCAAGGAGGAATGGGTAAAAACTCCCCAAATCCAGGTGTGCCAAGCTTGTTGCAACATACACAAGAAGACTGGAGGCTGTAATCACTGCCAAAGGTGCTTCGACCAAGTATTGAGTAAAGGGTGTGAATACTTATGTATATGCAACATTTGAGTGGTCTTATTTTTAATAAATTTGCAAAATGTTCTAAAAAAAAGTTTTTCGCTTTGTCATTATGGGGTTTTTTGTGTAGAATTTTTGAGGGAAAAAGGGGATTTAATCCATTTTTGAATAAGGCTGTAACATAACAAAATATGGAAAAAGTGAAGTAGTATGAATACTAAGGCTGCAACAACAAATCGATTAAGTTGATTCGTCGTGATGAAAAAATCCGTTGCCAACTAATTCTGTGATCGATTCGTCGGGTCTTTATATATGTCCATGGACACCGGCGTGTAAACATCAGCAGGACGCACAGAAAAGAAACAGCCATGGCCGAGGCAGCGGCTGAGAAAAACATGGACACAACCCATGGTGTGGGAAAACTTTACCAAGACTGAAAAGGAAGGCGTTCAGTGCAACATTTGCAAAGCCCATTTTGCATGGCACGGGAGTACATCGATGATGCGTGAGCACAGGGCTCTCAAGTCTCACGCATTCAGCGTGTGACACACCCATTCCCACCCGTTCACACGCTCACACACCACACATTGTATTTTTCACGCATTTAAATGAACATGGTGACGTCCACCAAGTTGCACTTCTTTAACTATGGAACAGGTGGAAATCAACTGAGTTTCTCCGAGAGTTCAGAAGCTGCGTGCCACGCGCAAGCAAATCAAATAAAGTATATCTACTGAACAGCCAATCAAAAAGCAGCATTGCTGTATCCGGGTAGATTTTGATATCTTGCGGTTTGACTACAGAAGAAGACAGACACTCGCCGAAATAGAGCAGGTTTTTATAAGGACGAGATAGACCCGATGATTACAGTAAGTCAGTAACCTACACATGCAGAGACCTCAACACCTCATGGCATATAAACTCATATGCTATTGCTATTAACAGCTGCATTGATGAATTTAGCCTCTGTACAGCCATTTCCCCTCCACAAAAGCAGCATTTCTCATATATTCTTTTTAAAGTTCTGATACTCATGACAGTGTAATGCTGATGTACCAAAGGATTAAGTATCTCCATGTTTGTGAAACCTATACTTAAGTACAATTCATCTAAATGCTCCTCAGTGCTGATTTTAGCAACTCTCCTCCACAACAGGTAACTTTACTACTTTATTCTTAAAGTCATTAATGACTTTATTCTCCTAAATAATAACTTTAATCTCAAAGACTTAAAAATGTTTTTTTCTTTCTTAATGTGGCCCTCATACTCCATTGTATTTATTAGCTTGTTATACTAATAATTATCTTCAATCACTCTTCGACAAAAGCAAAAAAAAAAGTTTGTGTTTATCCGATTAATCGATTAGTTATTAAAATAGTCGACCGATTAATCGATTATCAAAATAATCATTAGTTGCAGCCCTAATGAATACTTTCTGGATGCACTGTAACTTAGATTCAGGCATGGCTTCAGTTCCTGTGAATTTGTTTAAATGTTCTGAGTAATGCTGATATGCTATAGAGTCATCTGGAGCATGTGTGTTCAGCCTGTTTGTGCGTGTGTGTCCTAGAGAAAACGTCTGAAGAGCCTGCCTGTTCCCTGTATCAATATTTCACTCTTCAGACGAGTCCAAAGCAGCTGTGCAGACTCTTTCAGACTCTCTCTGCTTCAGTGTTTCAGGAATTGTCTTCAGAAATGATCCAATCATCTCGTTTTTATCATTTTTAAGATTCTCATACTAACATGTTTCTGTTCATCCAGCCTCGCAGCAGCAGTCCGTTATGTTGTCAGAGGTTATTGTACATATGACTGTGAAGCTGCTTTAAGGTGTAAGTTGAAAAATTTGGCACCTTTTTGCACCTTCAGCAGCATCATATTTAGGGTTGGGTATCGATTGATTTTGAACGATTCCGATTTCGATTCCTTGTTTCGATTCCGATTCCTATCGATTCTCTATTTCGATTCTTTTAAAAGGCAGGATATTAAAAAAAATGCACGGTTTGAATGAGGGTGCTAACCGAGGCTCTTCTTTTTAGATGAAATTTCTTAACTTCTCCATGAATTTTCAAATTCTATTCACTTTTTAAGAACTTTACTATGAATGTCTCACAGGGCTATTTTCAACCAGGATATAAATATCAATTTTTGTTGTCAGGTCGTTTGTCTATGAAAAAGTACAAGTACTAATGTTAGTTGGATATTTAAGTTGACCCACCGTACACAGTGCAATTTGTTTGCCGCTTTAATGTTAGCAAAGGACAGAAGTAATTTATTGTTTCACTTATCTAATTCTGGCTGGTTAGCGGAAGACTGGTGTTGTGCTGTAGAATGCACCCCTTCACTCATTAGCTTCTTAAAGTGGAAGAAATATGATCTCATATTTAAAAAAACACGGGTATTAGATAATGAAAACGTGTCAAATGGAGCAGTAAGCTTTCGTTTTGTTATTATGTGTCTCAAAAATGCACACATAGAGGTGCACTTGGGTGTATAGACTGTACAGTAAGCTGTCAAGTTAGAGAAAATTATATTATTGGGACAGCAAATATTCCGAATCAGAGGGCTATTGTTTTCGGCTTATCTGAATAGTCTGAATGAAATCATTAAAGGCACACGCTTTAGATTCCATCCAATGGTAAGAAAAACTTGGATTATTTTGCCTTGTTATGTACTTTCAACCGCACTCCCGTCAAGGGGTGCATTCTATGGCAGAGGTGCATTCTATGGCACAACACCGGCGAAGCGCGTCAAAGTTGAGCACTCAGGTATTTCTGAGTGAATCCTGAGGTGTTTAATCATGTTGGTCGTTTACCCTCCTTTGCATGATATAACTGTATTGCTAATGGTGCATTGAGATAAGAGTTTATTCTTCCTGCTAAAGTTAGCCAAACTTTTGACCAACAAAGGTCAGGACAGCGGCTGCATTGCTGTGGGTTGCAATGTACTCTCTCTCTCTGTCTCTCTTTTCTTTCTGTGTGGCTTCGTCTCATATGCTCCGTCCTCGTTGGTGTTACACAGCGTCTTCTTCATTGGTGTTCGGCGGCTATTTCTTCCAGTCAGCAGACTCCGGCATCGAAACTTGGAGCTGATATTTTAAAATTTGAACGATTCCGGGAGAATCTAAATGTTAGTCCCGGTCCCCATCGATACTTGATTCTCGATACCCAACCCTAATCATATCCTGACAACACATGACAACATCCTCCATTTAGTTTCATCATAAGTGCCTTATCCTGATCAAAAGTTGGTTAGATTACTTAAATTTGTGATTTCAAAACAACTGAGGCCAGTTTTTGATGACTGCTAACCACAGCTGTCATTTGAGGAGGATTTTCTTTCAGATATTTGAGCATTACTGGTCTATTTGAAGGATCTCAGTGCTGAGTTATGTAACTAAGACTTTTTCTTACTTCAATAAAAGAACAGTATCATCTTTGATGTTACTCTTATCAAGCAGCTTTACACATTTCAAGCACAGGAATCATGGATTTTCCCCCTCTCAAATTTAATTGTGATCCCCTGCAGAACAAACACACACACTTTCAGTCTCCTTAAACCTTTAGAAGAATCTATGTGATTGGCTGTACAAATGCAGCACACCGACAACACGGCCAACAGCACTTTGAAGCTTTGTTTCAGCCCACAGTCACCGTTTCCACAGGTGAAGACGTGTCGTCTTCACCTGTGGGCTCAGCAGAGAGAGGAGAAACACCTGGCTTTGTAAATAGCTTTCCTCTTTAGAGTCTCTGCACATGAAACAACTCGCCCTCCTTTTGTGTGTCTGAATCTGTGAGTGTGTGTGTGTGAGGGAGAGAGAGAAAGAGAGAGAGAGACAGAGAAGAGAAAGAGAGCGAGAGAGATAACTTCCACTTCAGACAAAACAACTCACTGACAAACCCAAACAAGATCCCTGTGACAAAAACCAACAAGAGACAGAGAGAGAGAGAGAGAGAGAGAGAGAGAGAGAGAGAGGGCAGAACTCTGCTGGACCAGGGAAAGACTAGACCCTAATGAAAGTTCTGGATTCCCCAGCTGGTGGCGCTATCATGCCCACTGACTGTCACTCTCCTGCACAACAAACATTTCAATCAGTAGTCCACTTAAATCAGGCGGTTCTGACCAATCAGAACCAAGTATTTTACACAGCCAGTTAATTAGCCAAACAGCCAGGTAACAGTGCATTTATCATGGTCATCAGATTCTCATGATTATCATAGATGTGTCTCATATATCTGTCTGCTGTTTTTAGCGCTTTTATTTTCCTTTTTATTCAAAGGACTTTTTTTCTTACTGATGTTTTGCTGAGGGTAAATTTGAAGTTCACATGTTCTCATGACACATATGTATTTCAAGTCTCGCTTACAAAACCCATTTTTCTATTGAAGCAGCATGTTTATTGTCATTTATATCTTATCTGATCTATCTAATCTATAGGTTTGTGTATATTGATGATGGTACTACAGTGTGGTATCCTATCTTATATCACATAATAGTTCATTTTTCAGTATCATATCCTGAAATCTGTCTCCTACACTGTACTGCACTGCTTTTGTTGATTCAGTTTAAGTGTGTTTTACTCCAAAACTCTGAGTGTTCAGCAGACAGTCAGATTCCTCTGCAGCAGCATCAGTGTCACTAATGTTTACCATGAGAGAGTTTGTGGTCGGGTAATGAAGCCCTAATGGACGGTTAGATGGCAAACAGGCTGGGAAATTGGCTCAGTGCCTCTAATATACGTGTGTGTGTGTGTGTGTGTGTGTGTGTGTGTGTGTGTGTGTGTGTGTGTGTGTGTGTGTGTGTGAGTGTGCCAGTTGGCAGGGCCTTGCCTCCTCTCACTCAGCGAGGTGTGGGACGTTGTTGGTCACAAAGCAAGCAGCGGTTGAGTTTCTGATGATGCCAAGAAGCTGTCAGCTCAGGTGCGATGGAAATTATTAAACAGACGCGTTGGCTCCATGTCACTTCCTGCGGTAACAATCGTTTCCTTCAGTGTCGCCTGTCTCCTCAGCAGGAGATCAGGTTATCTGACATTCACCTCTGCTCTTTCTAAAGACCTCTAGATGAACTGGACCCACACACCCTGCACAAGCAACAGATAGGTGAAGAGGAGACAGGGAAGTTGGTTTGAGTTTGCATTTCAGGTTTTCTGCATTTCTAATTTTTGTTGACCTGTTGTTGATATATCCTTCATAAAATCTTTTCACTGCATGATGAGTTTGACAATGATACACTGGGACATTTCTGCCTGAAGTAAAACCAGCCTTTACACTAAATGACTGAATTTGTTGGCCTTGGTCTTTTTGCAACATTTGTGCAGAAAGTCACTTTTCTTTTTTCTACTTTTTCTAAACCGGGAACCAAAGTCACATTAAGAGATAAGAGGAACTTTATTTATTGATCAATCAATTAAATCAAGTCTGTGTTGCAAGTTTTTCACCTTATAAGGTGCATTTCTTTTCAGGCATTTATTCATACACGAGAGGACAGAGGTGCAAAGGGTTGAGAGCATTCACACAACAGGAACTTCTCTTTTGCAGCTCCATTTGCTGCTTCTGCAGGTTGGAAAATAAACGCCTTAGTTGTGATTTTGTCTTTGACAGACTGTGTGTTCATATTTGTGCAGAAACATTGGTGGCATTCCTGAAATTCAGAGTTTATTCCTTTAGTGCAGGCTAAAACATAAAAAAAAAAACCTCATTCATACAGCTTGTGTTGGACTGAGAAGGAGGAGAAACACTCAGTTCACTCTGGATCTGCACTTTTTATAATGCACTGACTTTGAGGTCTGCAAAATATCAGAAAAAGTTAAAAAAAACTGCCCTCCACAAGGTTTGTGTCAAAAGGTGATGTCTTTGACCATCCAGCACTGTTTCTTTCTAAAAGCTTCATTTATTTCTTAGCTCTCTTTTTTACAGATTTTACATTCAAAGCTCCTGAAAATAATACAAGGTCAGATACAAGGTTCAAATCACACCAGCTCACTGAGGACAGAGAACACATGAGGTCTCCAGAACCAGGCTTCAGGTCTGGTCCCTCTGCTATGCTTTAGTCTCTTTACTTGTAAGTAAACTGATTTCAGCAGCACAGACATTAAAATCATGTTTGTTTGTTTTTTTTTCACCTGCTTACAAAACACAACATTATAAAATAATAGAGCCAATAAATCTGAGTGCTGGCTCTGTGTGCTCCACTAGCCTGCTGCTCTGTCTAAACAGACTGCGGGGAAGCCCAGGTGTGTGTGTGTGTGTGTGTGTGTGTGTGTGTGTGTGTGTGTGTGTGTGTGTGTGCGTGCGTGCATGGGTCAAGCCCACGGTCATGAGCATCTATGTCATGCGTGTGTGTGTGTGTGTGTGTGTTGGGGAGGGGGGCTCACAGACTCACAGACATTTGTCTAGACCTGGTCTGGGTCAGGATTAGGGATGCACCAAAAATTCAACCACCAAAGATTTTCGGCTGAAAAAGGAAGTTGTGATGATATATATATATTATATATATTATCCTGTAAAAAGAATCTCAGGTCCACATGTTTACATTGTATATACTTCCTATTCATCTCTTTTCATATTTTCTATACTTTTTTCTATATTTTTTTTTTTTCTCCAATGTTTTTGCACTGATATGGGTGGCTTTAATCTCATTGTACTGCGTATAATGACAATAAAAGGCATTCTGATTCTGATTCTGATGTAAGCAAAAACTGCGGTCAGTACGTGCTTGTCAGGGTAAGGGCCTACATGTCTGCAGTGAAGATGTATTTCAATAAATCTGAGACCTACAGATAGTGGTAATTGGCATAATAATTTCACTCAGTGTTTTGGTTTTTGGTTTATTAGCAGAGAATTTTCATCCCCAGTCATGATCAGACCAGCTAACTGCCTGACTAATGTCTCGGCAGAGTTTCAGATGAGGCTAGGACACACTTAGTCACACTCCGTGATGTTTTCAGTATTTACAATGTGAGGCTGTGCATGGCAGGAACACACTTCATCCACTCAGAAATAACCTAAACAAGATGGCACCCCAAAAGTCAAAGCTTTCTATATCAGTGAGTAAGGAACACTGGGGTCCAGCTGCTTCATGTCAGTCTCAGCGGCTTTATCAAACACCTCCTGTTATTCTGCTGCTTTACTTCAGATCCGCTTGCAGCATAACTGTCATAACTTTGAAGTGATCAATAAGAGGAACCTCATCATGACCTTGTGCACATGCCTCATTACTTCATCAATCTATAAAACAAAGCAAATTAAACTGAGGGTAATCAATACAACCAATAAGCTGACACATTTATCCTGCAGCATCATGTTTTGGATGTTTGTCACTCACATGCATCATCACTATGACAATAAGAGTGAACTAAACCTTTGGATTGAAACTGTAGTAAAACAATAAAACTCAAACACACACATGCACCAAACAAAAACCAACCCCCACTGTGACAATGAACCTTTCACCCCTCCCCCTTCCAGCCTCCTCCTGACCTGAGCCCTGACCTTTGCCTTCCCAGACACCCAGACTGCCTCTCTGCACCCTCCTCTCCCTGCAGATGCAGCCCAGCGTTGGTTTCATATGCAAAAACTCCCCCAAACCCACCTTTATTTACATACATACATCTGAATACCTGAATAAGTAATGACAACTATATGCCATGGACGTGTGCGTGGACTGAATCACTCACACAGGACTGATATTATAGGATGGAAAAGCTCTTCATAACTTTGCATTAGGTCCATGCAAAAGTAGCATGCACACATATTTATGTTTATGTCAGCTAAAGTTGTTTAAAAACTATTTAAAAAAAATGTAAAAATCATCTTATTAAGAGGGGAAAGGTGCTTCCTTTTGGCAGTCAACAAAATCAATAACAAAAGGGCTAAAAAGTGACTTATAGAGTCAGAAAGTTTCTGATGTTTCCCAGCAAATATCCCATCCTGCAGCCGTGAAAGTGGCTTTGACTGCAGAAAAGTTTCCTTTTGGTCCAATAAAAATTCAATCCATTTCTGAGGAGCAACTGTTTTTTTAAATGTATTTAAGAGTAACATCCTTTGAGTTGGACCAGCCCTTTGGTTTCTTTTTTAGGTGACCAAACTCCAAAAAGAAAACCAGCGATTTAACCCTGAGAGCACAGGACATTTTTGGCTTTGTGCCATTTTTGACTCAAATGTTTAAAATGTTGGAAAGATTTATAGAAAAAAAAAAAAAAATTCATAGACATTTTAAAGTATTTCAGCTGCTTTTTTAAATTCACCACAAGCCGTTGAAAAAGTTTTCTTTAAAGCCACCAAACTCCATAGAGAAAACCAGCGATTTAACCCTGAGCGCACTCAGAGAGTCATATAATCAGATGTTAATGTGAATATTTGGAAACTAGACAACCCAACTTCTACCTCCCTCTGAGCCAGACCAATTAATGAAAAACAAGACGGAGTTGTTTGGAGCGACTTAAACAGACGACAATTGATGTATTTAGGAGAGCAGACAGCCTCACAGGGTTTTCTCTCCGTCTCAGACTAATTAATGAAAAACAAGAGACCATCTTCTGCGCACTGCCTCCTGACACTAGATGCATATAGCAGCAGCAGCAGACAGTCATTGGCTTTATTTATAGACCAGCCTCTCAGTCCTCAGACGCTCTCTGTATGGATTTATTCACACTGCGAGACAGACACCCAGGACCGGCTCCCACTTCAGACTAATTAATGGGACAATACGGGTCCAACAGGCTGCAAGGGCCTCCGCTGAGCACTGTCTTATATGCAGATTATATGCAGAGAGCACACACGCACACACATGAACACACACTACCCCCCTAAGTGACGATGACCCTGACCCCCAGACACACACGCTGCATGAATCTACATATATGCATGACCACTGTTTTCAGGTCTGTGTGTGTCTAGACCCTGAAACAATGAACAGCTGAGAGTGGGAATCAAAGGGAAGATGGAAGGAAGGAAAGAAGGAAGAGAGGAAAGGAGGAGGGGAGCGAGAGTATGAGGGAATAACGCAGGAGGTCAGGAGGGAGCTGAAAAGACAAAAATATCCAAGAGAGCTTAAAGTTTCTGAAATGTTCTCTCCATTCTGTTTCCCAATAATAAATGTTATCTTTATATTTTTAGTTTGACTTAGAGGCACCAGTTTGAGTGTTTTCACCATCCATGTCTGTAAATCTGCAGTTTGCAAACTACATTACCCATGAGCCTGTTCGTAAGAAAAAGGAAGCAGACAGGAGTACATGCTCTTAGTGTGGTTGGTAAAAATACATGTTATTGTTGTTGTTAAATTCACCCAATTATCTAAAAGTGAAGTGATTCAGCTGTAGACACCATCACTTTATATAAAAATATGAAATAATCCATGTTGGTTTGAAAATTCTGAGGGTGGTGAGTTCAGACCAGGCATTTAGCATCATGAAAAGTTGTGTCTTTTCTGCTTGTCCTGCTCATAAAAACATGAGGGTGATATTTTCAGATGAACAGGATATTATAAAACCTTTGTAATTTAAAAGTCATGACTCATCCCTGATTATATGCCTATCCAAGCCCCAGAGGTAGAGTTGTTCTGATTATGAAACCAGCTTCTGTATTTGAAACAATCCTTTCATATGATGGTTCATGTGTACGGGGTTCCACCACAATGACTTTAAAGGCTGCAGTATGCATGCCACGCCTGTAGTTGGGGGCCTAACCTTGTACGTATGCAGGTGTTCTTTAACAGAGCAGTGAGTACAACACTGGCATGTGCAACATGGCCGTGATGTTCCTGTTTTCAACAAGCATTGACCATTTTTCAGTCCAAGAAAGGCACTTATAAATAAATTTCATTTTTATCATTTTTCAGTGCATATATTTCAGTTTAAACAGCCTTGACTGCAGGAAAAGTCCTGTTTGTCTAGACAAAGTTCAGCGCAGGGTTAGCCAAGGTTAGCATCAGCAAAATGTTAAGTTCAAATTCGCCACAACCTAAATCACCTCAAATCAGTGAATTGACAGCTTAAAATGAGTTTCTTCTCTCTGAGGTAGGAGACTGAGGATTTCAGCAGCTAGTGGCTCATAAACATCAGCAGTCTGGCAGTTTTTTAGATGGGAAAATACAAACTCTAAGTGACATTGGGTCCCTCTAAAATAATGAGAAATTAAAGATATATTTGGGGCCGTTTGAGGTCGAGACTTTCCAAAACTAAGAGGAGAAACACTGCACTGTCTGGGAGGGATGAATGTCAGCCTGAAATAGCTCCTCCTTCTTTCAAACTCTATAATTAAAGAGAGGAAGAAAAGATAAAGCAAGAAATGCATGAAACACAAGACAGAATAATGGCAGGTTACAGCCAAACAGGAAATGTTGCAACCTTTTCTGAAGTGCTCTTGAGCAGCTTGCTCTCATGTGTCAGAGCCGAGTCGACTTTCTTTGGAAAAATCATTTCTTACGAGACAAATTGCCATGTGTTTATTGTACAAGAGGATTAAAGTGTTTCTGGGTCTGGGACGATGCCAGCTGTCAATCACAGCCCGAAAAACACAAAAGGCAGAGTTTGATCCTCGCAGGCTTCTGTAAGCACACATCATATCAGCACAGCTGCTTTACTGTGAGAAAAAAGGAAAATCTAGTTCAGTTATTCTTTATGATTTTACAAACAAAAGCACAGAGACACGGGCAGGAAATGAACAAACTCAGACAAACACACGCGCGCACACATACACACACAGGCTGCTGACACACTGAGCAGCGCTGAGACAGCCAGACAGAGAGGTTTACATAATAAGTCTAGGAGGCCAGCCAGAACAGACTCAATCATTTAATTTCCATGATTCACTGAGTGAGAGCGAGGGAGCGCCGGAGCAAGGCAGACAGAAGAAAAGAAAGAAAAGAATCAATGAGAGCTGAAACACAGCGAAGAGGAAGGCAACCAGAGACTAAAAAGAGTCCGCCATGTCCCAAAATATCCCAGAATTTCACTCTGACTTCACTTTTTAGGGCTTCAAGCAGCCAAATTGTCACAGTTCCTGTCCTCCCCTTACTTCTTCTTCAGCAAAAACTGTCTGACCAAAACACACGGGTGGGCTGCAAATTTCACCCTCCAATCAGGCACAAAAAATGACTCTTACTGACCTCAAGGTGGCGCTGCAACAGTCCAGTTTATGATCATAAAATAACCCTCCAAAAAAGCTACATACAGCTTTACTCAGAGCTGCTGTGACAGGTGATCAGTGTCAACCCCAGACTGAAGTGAGCTCAAAACAAACATATATATTTTTTCATATACAACTAGACAGCAGTTAATAGCAGATAAAAGCATCTGCAGCAGTGAAACAACTCTTGTGCATATTTACATTCTACAATACAAATATTCTATTTATATTCTTCTGTGAGGAGCTGCATCACTGTGATTTCTGTGGGCGTCTATGACAGGTTATTCCTGGACTACAAGGAAGTGGTGACAGCATAACATCTTTTAGGATGCATCGCCCAGCCTTTGTCTGCAAGTATGTATGTATTACAACAGCTATATATACAGTTTTATTTCAAATAGCAGAAAATTCAATCATGCGTCTTTCCTCAAGATTACAGGCTGCAGGGAAGTTTCCCTAAGTGGATTTTTATTCCTAAGAACATAAAAAAATTGCGTTGACCAATCAGCATGATAAATGATAATATAAAAAAATCTAAATAAAAAATATTAAGTAATGTTCTGGGGTTTTTCTTCGTTTACAGTCTAAGTAGTTAGAGACACAGTTGCGTGCCGGCTGGCCTCATGATAATTTGTGGAAAGTGGAAGTGGGAATATTTCTCTGTAATTCTGATCTGTAAACATCCTCTCTGTCACATGAGAGCTTCAGCTCTGACAGGATGTGGAGAGTTTTGGAATGACACATGACAGAGTGACACATGACGAGAGTCAGATGCAAAAATGATAATTTTAAGTCAGAAATATATTCTCAATGTTCATGCATTTATTCAAATTAGAGGTTGGTGCAAAGATTTATCATTTAGTTTCACCACCAACCGGAACTTCTTTGGTATTATAGCTGCAGCCTGAGTTGGACTAAATTCATCTGTTTTACTTTTTAAGAACCTAAAGTTTAGATTCCCCTCACTGATCCATAAATGTGATTTTTTTTTTCGTCACGCGACACAAAGATCTGTGAGAAAAAAAAAATTCATCTGTTTTGACTCCTCTGGTCCATCAAAAGGCATTCAACATGCATTTAACTCTGTTCACAACCAGATACAAAAACTTTAAATTGATCATTTCTATCATCTCTTTCAACCCTTCTTGGATTAGAAATCTGCAGCTAATCTCAGGTGGGCACAGGTTTAAACTTCTGACTCTGCAGTTTCAGGAAAAAGTCGCCCCATCACATTCTGAACTTTGTGTTCCTGAACCTCCTGTTCACTCAGGAGAAACAATCTTTTCCCCAATTCAATTATAAAGAAAAATACCTGTACCCTCCAGCTGAACTCACACTCACTCACACACTCAAACACTGCAGGAACATTTATGTTGGCCGAGGACGCAGACTGTGGAGGTGTTTGTGTTTCCACCAGCAGACATGCAGTAACAAACCGAGGAACGAAAGTACGAATGAACGAACAAACGGGGGGAACAAGCTGCTGGTACGAAATGATTCTTTAAAGCCGATACCAGCAATGACTTCACCCTGCATGATCACACACGCACGCACGCACGCACGCACGCAAGCACACACACACACACACACACATAGCCAGCCTGTGAGTAATGCTGATGTCATGTGCTTTGGCTAGCAGTGTCTGCCGCTCAGAACAGATGTGCTTTTGCGTGTGTGTGTGTGTGTGTGTGTGTGTGTGCGCAAGGGTGTAACAGGTATGTGTAACCCTACAATTACAACCTTACAGATCCAGATGAGGAATAATGTGCAGCTTTGCCTCTGCAACTCCTCCATGAGTCGGACTTTGTCTAAATGTAATGTCTGCTCAGTGATTCACTGCAGCTGTTTCAGGTGCAGGTGAGCAGACTGCAGTTTAACTTCCAGTGTGTGTTCCTAATAGTATAAATACATGAATGCATTGTTGTTCAAAGACTGCCTCTTCCTCCTGCAGCAGCAGGTTTGCATTGCTGTATAATTAGGATGAAATGTTATCACAAAATTTTCTCCTGCAGCTTTAAAAAGGCCGAAATCATGTTAAGTTTGTTGTGTTTATGTTAAGACGTTTCTAGGAAACCATGAAAAAGACTAAGTTGTGTTTTGAAAGTGATAAACTAAAGAATTCTTATAAGAAAGCATGCAGAAGCGCGTTTTTTTTTTTCATCAAATAGGGCTTTAAAGTCATGAAAGCACCTCTTTACGGCTTGATTCAAACAGTCAAAGTTTAATCTAAAGCTTCTGGATTCTATCTGCTGCTCAAAGTTAAAAGGCTGAATGTCATTTTGTAGTTTCTAGTGTTTCAAACACTGAAAACTTTCGATGCTACCCCTTCTATTCAAAAACCCAGCCCAGGTCTTTGGGTCCTGAATAAACCGTATAGACAGTGTAGACAATGATTGGCCTGATTTCAGATATCTGTCATAAAATGAGAGGTTTGTCCATGCAGAGTTAAGGATCTGTTTTTATGGTTTCTCAGAGTAAAAAGTTAAGGGAAACCCCATCTGTTTGTCCCTCTCCCTCTCTCTCTGATGTCTACATCCTTCTTTGATCACCACATCTCGAGTGTGTAACGTGGATTATCCCGTGTCTTACTTTCTTTCATCTCTTCCTGTCACACTCCACTGCATCGCCTCTCCAGCAGCTGAAACACCTCCAGCTTTAATCCTGATTTTTACATGAAGGTCACTCCAGCTCAGAGTTTCCAAACTCTTTCAGGAATGTTTATCTCTCTCCCAGTTTCTCCCCTCTCTCCTGAGCTTTCTCTCTAAGCTGACAGCAAGTTTCTAAAGTTTTGATATTCGCCTCTCTGTGTCTCCGAGGTCTTCTCTTCTCTCCTCTGGTTCATCTGTTTCCCTCCCTCGGTCCTCCAGACTAAACATCACGTCTGCTCTCAGACTGAGGAATTATGCGTCTGGCTGAATTCTCATCATGTTTCTCTGTTTCAACAAAAGCACTGTTGAGTTTCACTGACTGGTTTGATCACCCAAATATGAACATTATCTTTCCAAAGATCTCTGCAGGTTATAAAAGCACATTTTTCTGTCTTCTTTACGCTGCCTCACCTCTGTTTGTTAGTCCAGTTTAATAGAGACTCTTTATAGTGTCAGTTTATCTGAAGATGAACTGGTTAATGAAGAAGTGGTTTGCCCAGTTTGTGGTGGTTCCAGAGCCCTGACTTACACCAGAAACAAAAGACTGAGGGCAGGTAGAAGCAGATTAATGATTGCCTTGGCTCTGGACTGACGTGTTTAGCCTCTACATATGGGCTAAGGCTGCACGATATTGGAAAAAAATAATATTGCGATTTTTTCAACCCTGCGATATATATTGCGATATTAAAAATACAGGAATTTTCACCAGATGACCTGAATAGCACTTAATGTTATGCTGCACTGCTGAAATCTTGAGGACAGTTAATCTGCTCTGATCTTACCTCTTTTTGTGAATGTTAGTAGAATGGCTTCTGTCTGTCTCAGAGATATTTTCAGCTTTTATTGTGCTGGGACGTTATTGTGGCGACAGATGAACACAGAACACGTGTTTTGGTCAACATCATCCTTCTTTTAACCGAAATAATTCCAGATAACTGACTTTCCTTTTCTTTTTGGCAACAAATCTTCATTTTCGGTGGTTTTCGCTTGTTCAATGTTCATTTTGCGATCGTTGTTGTTGTTGTTAGCGGTGTTGTGCTGAGAAACGCATGTCCTCCGAGAATTGCATGCACCTCGCAAAACGCGCACTGCTTATAGTAGAGTGGTCCACGGAAATGTACAATTTAAAACCCATACAGTTCTTATTTGTTGGGCTTAATAGTCATGAGTAAAGTTCCGAAAGTAATTCTCAGCGGACACACGTCTCCTTCCATGTGCAGAACATGTGCAGGGGTGGGTTTCCTCCTCCCTGATTTTGATTGACAGCTGGCAGGGTAGTCTGATTGGCAACTGAGAAGTGAGTCTGATTGGCAACTGAGTTACGGACGAAGGCGATTGGTGGATCGCTGCACAGCACATGCAGAGTCACATGGAGTGTATCTCAGTCGGTTACCCTTGAAATTAAATGAGTTCATTCACCTCCAATATCGCAGGCTCTGCGATGTGACTATCGCACACACGTACATCGCGATGACGATAGTCAAACGATTTATCGTTCAGGCCTACTTTGAGTCATCCTCCGAAGATGTTATTGTTGAGAAGTTATCCAACATCGGTTGTGTGGCGGTGGTTCGGGTATCTTCAAAGTGACGTCGAGTAATTAAGCTGATGTGGAAGGTATGTCGGCGGTCTGTGCCCTCAAAAACCGGCAACACAACAAATCTGTTTAATCATTTCAAGAAGTACTTCCCGAGTGATTATGTGGAAAGCATGAAAATGCGAGCAGGGTCTGCACAGCCTGCCATTGCTGCTGGTACTAGTAGCATTAGCAGTTTAGCTACAAAAATGCATTGCAGCCACCAGACCAAAGTAGTAATTAATTGTATCATCTACATTTACATCATCTAATGTTTACATTTTAAGGCGATTATTTTATCTATTATTTTGGGTCTTGCATACCTGCAAAAATACTCAGGACTGTAAAATATTTCACTGTATTATTTAGTATTTATCTACATTTGTTGTATTGTTGGGTTAAAATGTTCTTATATTTTTCTAAGTGTATCGTATTCTTTGTTACTTACGTTATTTACTTCGTATGTTAATAAAATGTTGAAATAACCTCTAGTTTCTTTAGGTTTTAGTACAGATGTTTTAAAATTAGCAATTAAAAAAAAAAAATCGGGATAATAATCAAGACCGGATGATACGACAAAATATATATCATGATCATTTTTTTTTGCCAAATTGCCCAGGCCTAGTTTGAAGCTACATGAGAAAGAGATGAAAGTAATGCTCGTTCACATGTTGACATGTTTTGAATGGCCTACACTATTTTCACCGCTTTCACACCTTTCTTGAAGGAAACATAATCACTACCTGCTCCACCTTTTCATGGTTGTTGTCTGAAACTTTAGGTTTTTCTTCCTTTTTGACTCTGAGTGGCGTCATCTATTTGATGCACTAAAGTCTGTTCCAGTGGTGACTGTGGCAGGTGATTGTTTAACCTTTTTTTTATGTTTTATCTCCTTTAATACTTAACAGAAGCATAAACGAGCCTTTGCACTCTATTTTTAACACTGTACCATAAGACAGAGTGAAATCACACATAATGTGTTTATTCCCTTGTTTTTGTACTGAAGGTCTTTAAAACACGATTCAAATGCTGTATATTCTACTTTTTATACTCCACAGCTCTGAGGGCTGCCGGCTGAGCTGCTGTCATACGAGCTTGGATTACACAAATATCCCCTTTTCAAAAACCAATACACCTGGTGATTTAATTTGTTAAAACTGAAAAATCTGCTAAATGTTTCAAATCTGACTTTATGAAAATCTGAATCTAAACTCCTTATTTCTGTTCATTGTGCAGTTGCAAATGACAGTGTTGTGAAATACTTATAAAAGTACTCAGATGGAGATATTTTGAAGTCATTACAGCTTGAACTTGTAGAAAACTCTTACTCATATGTGACTTACAAGTTAAACCAGAAAATAATCTAGGCTGTTTGATGTGGTGGAAAACAACGTTCAAAGAAAGGAACGGCTGAAATTATGAAGTTCAATATTTACTGTTTGGTGGTGTTACCAGAATTTGACTGGCAAGGCTTAAAGCGAAAATAAGAAATTTTTATTTCTTGGATGGTAAATAAAAGGCAGATGACACCAGTCTGAACCCTTCCTACACACGATTCTGTGAACATATTACTCACTGAGTTCTCAGTAATCTCTGCTTCATAATCAAAACTGGCACAGCATTAAATGCCTTTAAAATATCTGCTAGGAAATAAAACAGAAAGCCTCAAAGGTGGAAAAAAGGCCACAGTCACTGAATCATGCTCTTTTTTGAGTCTGTTACAAATCTTTATTTCACACGAGTGGGATCTTTAAGAAACAGTGAGTCATGTCAACGACCTGAAAAACCATCAAAGGTTCTTTAACTCATTAGATACAACATACGTCCTCCCCTCAAACAGCTCTCACTTTAACCTCATCATAACTTCGATTATGGGTCATTACAAAAAAGTTAGTGGAGAATAACAAGTGGAGACAACTGCATTTGCTACATGGTGTGCCACAAGAGATGGAGAGAGGAGAGCAGGGAGAGTTATGAAGAAGTCTTCTCACATAACAACCAAACATGTAACCAGCTAACAGTATCAGTTAGAAATCTGGTGAATGTCCTATCCGCTACAACTGCTAGCCTGGCCATCCAGTTGTGTGAATCACTTGCCGTTCCTTCCCACAACAGTCTGGACTTCGGCCAATTGGGAGCCCTAAAAGTGGGCGGGAGTACTTTCCTTGATAGACAGACTACTGTAACCAATCACCGTAACCAAACATCTGACGTCATCACAGTGCGCGGTTCGATTCCCCCCTATCCTGAGTCTGTCCGTTGTGTCCTTGGGCAAGACACTTCACCCACCTTGCTCCCAGTGTATGACCTCCACTGGTGTATGATTGTGAGTGTTGTGTGGTGGTGGTCAGAGAGGCCGTAGGCGCAAAATGGCAGCCACGTTTCTGTCAGTCTGCCCCAGGGCAGCTGTGACTACTAAGGTAGTTTACCACCACCAAAGTGTGACTGTGTGAGCGAATGAATGATGTATCCAATGTAAAGCATTTTGAGGGTCTCTGATAATGCGCTATATGAAATCTGATGCATTATTATTATTATTATAATAACTGTGTTCCCTCCTGGGCTCTCAAGCATCAAGTAAAGGTTTGGTAATATTTCAACGTGTGCGAGCAAACAATGTCTTTTACGTCTTCTTCTGCGGATATAAACGATTTCTACCGACTTTGCAAAGTCAACTGCAGAATTAACAGCGTTCTGAATGAACGGCGCTTTGAAAAGTCCCGCAGCATGTGTTAGACGTCACCATCTACACATGGACCAATCAGGGGCTGCCTTTCCCTGTTGTCAGGGGAACAGTGGAAACACAGTCACTGATTGGCCCAGTTATTTTCTGATTTGGGACTGTTGTGGGAAGGAACGGCAAGTGATTCACTCAACTGGATGGCCCAGCCAGGCTATACAAGTGCAACCAGAGGGTTCTTTGTTAACAATATCCATTAAGAAAAACACCAGGGGAGTTACATTCAATCCAGCAAAAGAACAACCAGAGGGCACTTTGTTTACATTTTACCAAATAACAAGCCACCTGACGGTACTTAATTTATGTTTAATCCAGCAAAAGACCAACCAGGGGCACTTTGTTTACATCTTACGACATAAAGAGCAACCCAAAGGTACATAATTTATTTAATCCAACAAAAAACAACCAGAGGGCACTTTGTTTACATTTTACCAAATAAAGAGCAACCTGAAGGTACTTTGTTTACATTTTACTACGTAAAGAGCAACCTGAGAGTACTTTGTTTATGTTCAATCTAACAAAAGAACACCCAGAGGGTACTTTGTTAACATTTGATACACTGAAAAAGCAGCAAGAATGCACTTTGTTCACAATCTACCCACCAAAAGGGCACTTTGATTACTCAATTTTTTTTCACTAAGTCATTGTTTTCCACATGATTTCCCCTACAGGAGCACCAGAGGGGGCGTTTTTATATTGATTTATTAACTACAAAGGGGGCACTTTTGGGGGGAATATTTTTACCATATGGATGTATTACACTGGTTGCACAGTTTAGTCCAAACTCTTGAACCCTGCCTGCCACAGCTCTGAACCTGAGTGACTCAGCCCTGCCTCTGACATCAGCAGCTTTTCTGTGAATGGAGTTTCATTATTATGAATGTATAACCATTTCCCCCTGTGGGAGTGGGTGCCTAACAGACGTCGGTTTAAAGCCTTACTTTAATGGAATATACAGGCACATTAAAAGCCCACTCATTTAAACATACATCTAAATATTGACAGACGTACAAACAGGGATTTCCCGGATACGACCACACACATGACAGCGCACGCGCACACTCACGCACTCACTCACACGCGCAGGCAGACGGCTAGACAGACGTCTGGTTCAGCTCGGATGACGAAGCGGCGACCAAACTTCAGCTTTCCCCACCTCATTCACCTTTTCAGCCGAGCAAAAACACCTTTACTTCCAACACAAATCTTTCTACAGCCTTTTTGGAGACTTTCTGGCGGGTTAAGCACACTTTAAACCGTGTTCTTACCGATCAAATCCCCCCAGTAACACGACAGTATAAATACAGCCAGTTTAACTGTAAAGGCAGACACAGCGGCTGCTCAGTGTAACGTTAACCGAAAATCCGCAATGTCTGTCAAACTTAACAACAAAAACAAGGCAAAAATACTTAGAAGATGATATAAGTGAAGCAAAGGATGAGATGGGGGCATGGAAAGCTTCCCGTTTTTGATCAAGTTCAAATTCCAAATAGGTTCAGGACAGAAATCTCTTTACCCTGCACAATCAAATTTGTGACTTTAGCCGTTGCTTTAAGCTAGTTTTAATCAAGCTACATAATATTAGCCATGGTAACAAACGTCTTTGAGAGAATAAAAGACAGTAACACTCAAATCATACACAAAGAATGATCTGAATGGGCATGTTTTGTGACTTTTAAAGCCAGACACATGATCCTGAAGCTCAATCAAACCCCCATTTGAGTCGAAAACTGAAGATTTGAACTTCAAAAACTACAAAATAAAGCAAATATTCACTTCTCTGTACATGTAACAAGGTTTAAACCCAAGCCGAAGTCACCACCACTGCTGTTTGTGACTTACCAATCAAAATAACGTCTTTTAAGATCCACATTGACCACTAGCAGAGAAGTCAATATAAAGTGCTAAAAAAGTAATGAGATTCAGGCTGTACTCACTGATTTCCATGCTCTGGAGGGAGGTGTAGCGCTTGCAGTTACAAGTACAGGAGACATTGGCGGCGGTGGTGGCGTTTAAAACACCCATCAAGTTCAACATTTAAAGCCTCCTAAAGTCAGACATAAAGGAGCGCCGGAAGGAGAAGAGCTGGAGAACAGAAAACGACCGGAGGACGGAGACGACGCCAAACACCCTCTGAAAAAATCCTCCTTTTCCTCTGGTCTCTCCAGCCTCCTCTCCCTCTTCTTCTCCGGTCCGTCCGTCCTCCTCCTGACTCGGTTCTCTCCTCCTCTTTTCACTCCGGTTTCTCCTCCTCTTCCCTCCAAGTCTATCAATATCTATCTATAGTATTCTACCTGTCTACTCGGCGTACCGGGTGTCGGTACAGCCGTTAAATGCAGTTTTAACCTACGTAGAAATAGTTTGACTCTGTGGTTCAGTCCGTTTGAAATCACTGTGAATGGTTCCGTGTTTTTTCAGCCGAGTGACCGGCGACTAAACTGCTAACGGTCGTCTGTTTCTCCCTCTGTCTGTCTCCCCCCTCTCTCCCTCTCCGTCTCCAGGGATTTCTCAGTGCCTCCCCCTCCTCCCTCTCCTCTCCCTCGGTGACACTGAGTCTGTCTGTCTCTTATTTCCAATTTCCACTCGCTTTTTTGGCTCATCACAGGTCTGCAGAAATCAAAGGCTGCAGACGCTGGAAATGGCAGATAAAGGAGAAAAGAAAGATGACAAGGAGAGTCTGTTTTATTAGTTCAATCTCAAAGTCACAAGTTTGCCCCCATGGCTTTGTGATCTGACGCACACATACACAAAGAAATTCAAGACATTTTTATTATGAAATTCCAGAATTAAGTTAATATTTCGAGAATGGACACACTTAAATAAAAAAAACAAAATTATAATTACATTAGGCTATCATTTTTTTAAAGACATTTTAAACCGTGCAGGTTAAAAGGTCTAAAAGTTGCAATATCACAGGTATCCACTAGAGATTTGCAACGAAATCTCAGGAGACATTGACTTCAATTTAAAGCCTATCATTAAAGCAAAAATCAACATGTCTACCCCCTTTTCCAGCAAATTACAATTAGATTACTGAAGCAGTCTTCTCAATAAGTTTCTGTTTATACAATAACTAATTTTGGTATTATGTGGTATCAAATCAGCTGATCTCATGTAAATATATATTGTTTTTTAATCAAACCAATGTTTGGGATCAATAAAGTCTATCTATCTATCTATCTATCTATCTATCTATCAAACATATTGTATAATTTCATATCATTTTGTTGCATAGTATTACATATCCTTTCAGTAGTGTTGTATCAAGTAGTGTTACATCAGTTGCTTTTATATTATTTCTATGTATTTTATTTTTTATATTATTTTATAACATTGTGTTGAATCATCTCAAGTCATGTGAGCATCTCATGGCTAATGACCACAACATTGTGTGTGGTAACGGAACCCGTGTGTTATTTTTAGTGTATCATTTTGTATTGTTTTATTTCAGATCATTTCATTTCTTGTCATTATTTCGTATCGTATCACTTGTGTTTTGTCATTTGTTGAGTTGCATTGTTGTATTGCATCACATTGCATTGTAATATTGAATATGTCTTTTTAGGTTAGTTTTTCTTTGAACAACATCTTGCATTGGTTGCCAGTAAGTGCATTGAGTTTTAATCATTTATTGCACAGAATGGTTTCTGGTAAATAGATGTCCACTTTGACTCATTTAATAAGTAGTTGCATGGTAATTTTTTTTGTGTTGATCTGGTCAAAATAATATGAGATAAAGATGATAAGTTAGTTAATATTCAACACTGTAATCCTCCCACAAGTTTCACGTTGCTTTACACGCCCATATTTTCACAGCACTCACTAATGTCAGACCCAAATAGGGGCAGCATGATCTTCAGCGCAGCTTTAAGCCTGAAAACACACCATATGTCAGCCACACAGACTATGACAGTAAAACATGAACCTCCTTTTACTTTTCTGTTAAACCTGCCTCACTGACATGCAGGTAAAACCCAGAGTAAAGACTACCGAGAGATTAAATAACTTGTGAAATATTTATTAACCCTCAAGTGCTGTAAAATCTGACTCAAACTGTTGAGTAGTGTTTGAGCAGACAGAGCCAGACAGCATTACGTCAGCTCTTTGATTGACAGGCCCCAGGGACCAATGGGGCGAGACTGTAACAGCATGTCTCATCTGAGTCAATCGGGGACTGCTAGAGTTTACAGCTGCATGGTAAAGTGGTTTGATTGTCCAGATGGACTCAATAGAGCTCTAATCTCATAGACAGAGAAAAAAAACATGAGCGATGGAAATGTCTGTGTGATCTGGGAGAGGTTGAAAATGAAAAGCACTTTATTTTATGAACTTGGATGTCAGCTTTTCAGCAAAATGCATGAAAATGATTATGTTCTCTCTGTCTGATGATGATAGACTCAGGTACACTCAATGTTTCGGCATGCTCAGTATGTGTAAAATGCTTTTCAGCAGCAAAGATCAACATAAAGTGAAAGTCAAAGAAAACAGGGTGAGATTTTCAATCAGAAAGCATGTGCACAAAACAAGTTCAGAAAAAAGATGTTTTTATCCATAGGGGGTGCCAAAATCAATACAGATCCTAACAGAAGCTTTAAGTCGTGGTCACTACTAAGGAAGTGCTGAAGTGATCTCTGACATGAAACTGTGCATTAATCTTACTTTTGGTTGTTGTCCGATATGTTCAGCAATATTATCATTCTACCTTTTTCACTCGACACTCTCGCTCACAGCTGGTTTGATTTCTGACATTTAGTTCATGCAGGCTGAGCACCGTTTTGGTCCATGATAGTGAATTTAAATGAGCTAAATTAAACAAAATTAAACCAAGGTCACATTTTTCCTGATCCTGAGAACTTTTAAAGCTCTGATGACGAACTTCGGACTTCTATCAAGTTTGCTGCCTCCAGTGGACAAAGCAGTCATTGCTTATGTTGTCCTCTACATCCTATAAAAATTGTAATGACAAAAAGTAAACAAATGATATAAAACAAAACAACAAAATGATAAATAATTATAATTGTAGTAATGATTTAGTATGTTAGTAAGATGATATGATGTTAATAATGATAATACTAATAATAGTTTGCAATCGATCAGCAACATGACTGATGGATTTTATGTCTTTGTTTTGAATGCCTAAGGTCAGTTTGAGGGTGTAGGTCCCAGCAGAGCATAAGAAACAGCTGTGTATATAGTTTCTACATAAAATATTTAAATATAATAGAATAAATGATAAATTAAATTTTTAAAGACAAAATAATATAATAATATTAGCAACAGCAACAATTATTATTATTATTATTATTATTATTATTATTATTATTAAGTAAACTACAGTTGGATTATAAAGCTGCAGGAGAGCAGTAGGTTAGAGTTATGGTTAAATACACTGGTACACCAGTGTATTTAAGTGTATATGGATTCTGCTGCCCCCTGCAGGACTACAGCAGCACCAACATGTTGTACCGCAGTTCTTTGCAGAAACTAGACAGTCTGATATCATCAGATACTGGACTGTCTTTAGTGAAGCTCTGGACTCTGATAAACTTCTGGGATTTTAGCAGGAAAATTAGTTTCAATCTGTTTTAACTCAAACAGAAAAGTAAGCTGGATTGTGCAGATCTACTCAAGATGTTAAGGTGTCCCACAGAATGAGTAAAGACTTCAAAATGGATCTATTGTATCTGTACCATTTTTAGGGCTAGGCTTTTTGGTAGAAATTTCAGAGGCAATGATACATTTATGGGGATAAAACAGCATTTCATTGAAACAACACATCTAATAAGACCTCAGTTCAGATTTACTGACAGCTTGGTGTTAATTTCTCCCTCTGAAGCTTAAAAACATAGACTGTGCTTGAACTGGTTACTTAACAGTTTTCATTTTGATAAAAACTTGATTGAAAATCAACATTTTGCCACTTTGCAGTAGATGAACCAGAGAACTCTTGAGGTTTTTAGAGGAAGAAGTGGGTAGGATCCACCTTTCTCATGAGCGGACTTCAAGGATCAAGTTCAAGTTCAGATACCCAGCTCTTTAAATGGTTCTACATGCAGCATACTTTGTCTGTAGGGGGTGCCAAATTCTGTACCAATTGAAAAAGATTTTCACCGTTGGTGATTTTGATGTTGGATATTGATGCTTTGTAGTGGAACATATTATTTGACCAAAATCCTTTATTTCATTATTATTTTTTCACAACCTCTACTTTGTCTTTGTCATTTCACTGTCATGATTCAGCAATTCCACTTAAAACTTCATCATCTCCGTAAAGATAAAAATACTGTATGTTTGACTCATTTAATAGTTTTGTTGTATTGATCTAATCCAGTTTAGAGCCGGCCCTCAGCTGGGATAAGAGAAATACTGATTTTCGTAGTTATCCTGAAAGCTGAAAGCTTTATCCAGATAAATCCAGGTCGAGATTGCTAGTGTGATTTTGCAGACCTTTACTTATAGACAGACAGTTTTATAGATGTACTGTCTCAGATCTGTACTCTGGGGGTCTTTGCTGCTGCTCTGCCAGCATTGGCTCTTCATGCAGAGGTGTGCTCTCCCCGCCCTTGGCTTTGCCCTCTTACAGGTGCACGTGGAAGGGCAGGTGTGGTCTGCTCTCCGAGCCTGCCAACTGTAAAAGTTTTTAAATTTTTATGCTGTGAAGCTGAAAACTCAAGCTGAGCTCCAACAATAACAATAAAGTCAGATAAGTTTTATAGCTATGTGAGCCAGTAGTTTTTATTAAACCACACAAGGTTAAAACTTACATAAATTTTGCTTTTACTGTGCATATCCTGTTTATGTGGATTATTCGTTCCAAGTGTTGTGGCAGGCTAACCAAAGTCAATATTAAGGCATGCAAATTACTTATTTTCCAGTTTGAGAACATGGTAATTTATTCATTGTGGAATAGTTCTTTTAATCATGTTTATTTTTGTATATTTTCAAGAATAAACTTAAGAATAGATAAATAAGATTTAGAAGGTATTTAGCCATGGTTGTTCTAACGAAAATGGATGCTCTAACTGGATGTAACCTGTTGTATGAAATGTTGAATAAATTTGTTTTATTGACCGTAAAAATCCCCACAGATTTAAGTCTTAAAATCCAGACAGAAAGCCCCAGTCTCTGTCTGTCTCTGATGTGTGTGGAGGTCCTTGGCTCAGGCTACAGGCTGAGACAGCAATCACTGAGCTGGCAGTGAGTCAGTTTACCGCCTAAAGGGGCTGACTCACCTAAACGGACACCCAGGTGTGGTCATCCTTTGTCTCTATCTGCTCTCTATCTCAGCCTGTCTTTGAAGACTGAATGGGATGAATCACAGGGTTGAAGACTTGCTCTTTATCAGCACGGCAGGATCCTTGTGAGAGTGACTGTGTGTATTTATCACCATCTTTTTGGTGCTCAGGCTGAAAATGGCGTCAAATTAAAAAGAAGAGACCTGCTGTGGGAGGGTGGGTGGTGGCAGTGGATAGTTTTCGGGAACTGGTGAGAGGATGATATATGATACTGAAAGGCCAATATGAGAAACAGATCTCTGAGATATGTAGCTCCTCACTTAGCATTATGACACAGGATTCACACAATCAAACTGTGAAATCAAATTTGTGATAGGGCTTCGCAGAATAGAAAACAACTTGGACCAGTGGCGGCTGCT